TACGCGAATTATTTAGTTTAGATCGTTGTAGAACCGATAACATGCGGTAGGGTAAACATATTTTATTCGACATGTGGTAGCATTCGAGACAGCGCAACGATACTCATAAATATTTCAACAATCAGTGCCATTTATTAAGCAATAAGGGTATCCGACTGTGAATAACAGCATGTACTGTAATTAATACGGTTCTACGGATTTGCTGCAATTATATTGTTACAGAGCCTCCGGGTATCAGGAACGACGGACTTAACGAAATACAACGTGTATAACACTGCCAGAACGACAAACGCACGATATAACGTCGCGAAGCGAGCCAGTTTTTATCCGGCTATCTATAAACACACACACACACAATATATTTCCGATCTCTTTCCCTCGTCAAAAACCCTCCATTTGTTAGAATAGTCCCTGGCAAATTGAACGAGGCGAAATTATTGGACGTCGCTCTCGCGAGAACGAATGAACTAGCTCACTTGGCGATCGCTATTACTTAAGGAGAAACAAAAATATCGGAGAGAAGTGAAACGTTTTTTGAGACATAATTTAAAGGAACGATTACATGCAATGCCATTGCAAAGTGACAGCAAATGCTTCCATTGGCACGGTAGGCCATGCAGATAAGAAGAAGAAACTAATGATAATATATATATATATACATACACACACAAATATAAATATATATATATATATATATATATATAAATATGTATATTACCTATTTGCCGTTCGATAGATAACAGTCTGCAGTTACTTAGGACAGCGTAATTTAAATACTGCCAGATCGTTGTTAGCATTTACTTCTTTCCTTTTTTTTTTCCTTTTTTCCTTTTACACACATGGCAAACGAACGACCGAGGAAAATTCATCCGTTCCGTTCGTTCTCACGCACAATTGTTCTCTCATCGTTAACCGCATTGCAACCTTTCTGATTTCACAGTGAAAGAAACTCGTTGGTTTCCTCACGAACTTGCATCGTTTTACGAACGCGTACGAACGAGTTAGCACCGAAAGGTTAACTCAGAACAAAAAAAGAAAGAAACACCGATGCGCACGTACATAAAGGCGAGACTATTTAATTTAGATCTTACATAGTTACCAAGCCAAAAAATAATTAATATTTAAAAAGAGGGTGGTGTGGATAAGGTAATAAGAACGTGTTTTTAACCGCGAGAAACGTGGCTCGCACTCTTTGTGGGCGCATTTTTATAATGGTTTTTGTAATTTTTTAACCGCCGTTTTTTATCGCGCGACACACACACTCATCGTTTGTATGTCCGGTGCGCGAAAGAGTGCGGGGTATGGTACGGGTACGTATGCAGCCGTTTCTTCAATACCTCGATAGTTTCCTGATATTTTTGAAAGGAAATACGAGAAACGAAATAAAAAAAAGGGAGAGTAGGGAGAGAAGGAACAGAAGGAGAAGGAGGAGGAGGAAGAGGAAGAGGAAGAAGAAGAAGAAGAAGAAGAAAAAGAAGAACTTCTCACGCGTCCCGAATCCGGGGACTCATTTCGTCGAGCGCGTTGTCGCGCGTTGTCGCGGGGTGATGAACGAATCGACGAATTTGCGGGCGCGCGTCTATACCGGTGTGAATGCTGATGATCAATACAGTATGCAAGAGCGGAGAATGTTTCGTGTATGCAAGCTAAATTACGATCTAATGTATCTAATATATTAATTCATGTCTTTGTAACGTAGGTGATTTAAGTATATGCCGTGACAATTGAATATTTTACACGCCATCGCTCGTATCTTGTTTATCGCAGAATTATATGGAGGAGAAAGGGGAGGGGGAGGAGATGCAATTGCTACTCACATGCGCGTATCACTTCATGGTAGGTAAGAGTGTACGTATGTATTATTATTATTTTTATAACATACGAGTAAAGAGCTTCTGTGTGTGTGTGTGCGTGTGCGTGTGTGTGTGTGTGTGTGTGCGCGTGTGTGTTAAATTCTCGGTTGACCTGAACGTAACGATCTATACTATCATAAGGTGGGATTATTTAGCAATTGCAATATTCCTTTGTGCGCGATCCTCGGAGAGTCGATGCTAAATCCGCGGGTTCAAATCCATCGCGTCACTTTTTGCCAAATCAAAATTATCATTGTTGTTTCAGCCAACATCTTCCTCCACAAAGTAATAATGCAACCCGGCCGATCGAGGCCGAACGCTATTTTATGGTAGTATAGCATACTCGCGTATACCCGAGCGCTTTGGATTCTCGACGAATTAGTGAAAACTATTACGAAGAGCTTTATATTCCGTCTGTGATCTGCGGTAAACAAGCAACAGCCTCTCTCATATCATGCTTCTAATCATATCATTGCTCCACGCGTATCCTTTAATCAGCGCTGCAATTGTGTTTACTTGTGAAAATGATTATGTATGATAAACGTGTACGATAATTTATAAGATAGGGAGGGACAACACGCAAGCTGGAGGACAAGCAGTCCTCCGTGACGAGGTGAATTTCACAAAGAACATATTGCTAAGCAGCGACTATTCTGGCCTGTGTGTGAGATTCGAGAGAAGAAAATGGATCGAAAGTATTTTATAACTGTGTAAAAAGAAAGAACGGCAAAATGTGCACTAACGCGACCACCGTGGCTTATCGTATATTCGGCCGCTTTCTCAGAAATCGGGCTAAACGGCAGGCGCGAAGTTAAAAAGTTTCACTGCGGAAGAAACGGGATAGGGGGGGGGGAGGAGGGAAGGAGAAAGAGAGCAAGATCCATCTCGCATCGCCCATACGAAGAGGAAGGAGAAGAAGAAGAAGAAGAAGAACAAGAGGACGTACGTTGTATACATAGCTACATATACCTAAGAATAACGTATTGTGACTGGGATTTTCAGATTATTTTTATTCTGCTATAGAGAGCTTCGGTATATATACCACGTATATCGAGTAAAGCGTGTTTGCGTTGGTGTAATGATCGCGCGAAACGGCGTTTCGCGACGAGCTACGTACGAACGTCGTTTGCGCGCACGTCGCGTCCCATCGCCGGGATGACGGAGTTGTCGACCACTTCTTATTCTTTAAGTTCGCTAAACGACATATCTCGAAAGCGAAAGAGAAAGAGGGAGGGAGAGAGAGAGAGAGGGAGGGAGGGAGAGAGAGAGAGAAACAAAAGAAAGGTACCGGGCGAGCGCTCCAAGTTGGAGCGTGCGAGACGGTACCGCTCCGTCGCGAAAGAATAAATGGGAAGAAAACGTATCGAATTAATAATATACATATACAAATATCTTTACGACAAGTACTATATGCTAAACACGTGTAAAGTTAAGAGTTAATAAAATCATTTTAGGGTACTCTCTGCGTCTCCTCGTCTTCCCGCTTGATGAGTCTCTCCCGAGACTCGCGACAGCGAGTAATCAGTCTGCACATATATAATGAGTCTGCGGGCGGATTTGCGCAAGTAATTGCGCGATCATACTTCGTTTCACGCGTTGGTACACCGCGCGGCGTAAGTTTGCGTGCTGTTAATAGTATTAGATATGATTTTCCTCCGTTTCTCTTTCCAGACGCTTCTCGACGATATTTCCTCGGATACGATCGGATCGATCACCCTCGCGTGTGACACGTCGTATCAGAGGCATTGTTACGTATTTGCACTTGCACTTGCAGAGATTCTTGCGCGCTCAACGCCTCGCGAGCAGCGCGAGCAGCGCGAGCAGCAGTCCTCGTTACAGTGCGTGTGAAATTCATGCCGATTGGAAGAAACGACTTCGTACTTTCATCACGTGGATTACGGCTCGCGTGGGACGCGTTAGACGTTGACGCGCGTAACCGGGTACTCCAATTCTTTCGGTTATGTAAGATCTTGAAGACCGCGCGCTGTACAATACGACATATCTTCCATTCGCCTCACGAAGCACTCCGAGTCGACATGCAAAATAGTTTTGCGTCGCGCGGAATTACGTCACTCAGACGAATAAATACATGCCTCGTTGTCTCGCGCGCTTCAGGCAAGGCTACGTATATCGCGAGGGGACCGGGGAAACGGTGGGATTTCAAACGGGGCGTATTGATAATTCTCTCGAAAATAACGATACCGCCGCGCGCTCTTTATTTGCGCGAGGATGAACGGTAAGCAGCTGTTTGCGCGAGAAGGATCGTGCTTTTCGCGCACCGACCTACATTTCTACCTGTCGACTACCGCCGCGCGTCTTTCTGTTTTGCAATTTAAATTTCCCGATACGAGGAGAAACTGGAGATAACGTGCAGACGCGAGTCGCGGAAGGACATGTGAGGACACGTCTCGATCTCGATCTCGATTGTTCATATTCACGATCCGTTTGTATGTCGTTTTATATCGAACCGTCTCCGTGATAGCGCGCGTAGCACGCGAAGAGCTAAGAATCGCGTCGCTCGTGCCTGACCGGAAGAAATTCGTTACGATTCACCGCGACTCAAGGATTGATCGAAGCGGGAAGATAAACGGTAAATGCTGCCTCTCGACACGCGCACGCTGCAACGTCGCCAACGTGAAGAAGAGAGGCTTGTCTGCCGCGAGCGTGTCTTGAGACGCGAGATCCGCCGGGATACTCGGGATTTTTATCGCGCGCACAGCTGGCCAGGATCCTCTTATCGCTGTAATAAAGACGAAATTGTGTGACGCAAAGTTACACGCGCCTGACATGTTTTCTCATGACGGCTATTTAATCACCCGGCTATACAATGGTGCCTCCACCAATGATAAAAACGGACAGACACGTGTTACATTTCTTCAGGAACTGAGTCACCGCCGAGACATCAACGCGACACAATAACACGCAACGACGAAGACAACCGCTTCGCTTTCGTCTTTATTCGGTGAAAGCGATCCGTAATCTTATCTCGATGTCGCGCGGCGATGAGAACTCGTCGTCGTCGACCAAACGCTCGCCCGGTATCGTCAGCTATCGAATCGACGCGTTTCCTACAGTTATCGCCGCGCGACACGCTGTACAGTTTATGTTATCTATCCGCGATAAAGGTCGCTTCGCTGAACAGAAGCGCGATAACCTAGGTCGGAGGACGAAGCTCGTGGCGAAGCGACGAAAGCGCGTCGAACGGCACAGACGGTTTGCCAAACTGTCTCATCAATTCGTTCTCTCACGCGAACGTCCTCTTTTCCCCCGAAGCAGAGGCTGACAAACGCGCGCGGCTCGAGTTCCCGTGAATATTTCAAAACACGCCGCGGAAATGTGCGCGAGGGCGACACACGCTGTTCATCGATCATCTCGATCCATCTCGCACGTGTATCTGTATCTGTACGACGGGGGAGCACAAGGCATGGCAGGGGAGCGCACGTGTAAATATTTACCGGCGCATGCGTGACGACTAGCTCCGGCCGGAGCGGTCACGTGACCGCGCGCGGTATAAAACGATGCCGATGCGCCGGCCGGTATTACAAGCGCAGAAAACTTCCGCAGGAGTGGACACGAGACGACGCGCGGGGCCGCTTGGCGCGAGCTCGCGAGAAAACAAAGGCGAGATTAGAAGAGCGAGCTCAGAGGCGAGGGAGAAACGCGCGCACGGCGATTGACGCGCGATTGAGGAAAGTCCGTCGAACGCGCGCGGCGCGCTCCTCCGTGCACGAGCAGGAGAGAAGCGCGCGCTTCTTTCGCTTCCGGCCTGAAGTTGGCGGAAAATCGCGGGTAATCTCGCGGCGCGGCGCGGCGCGGCGAGTAGCAGCGACGCTCTCGATCTCGAGTCGCGCCGTTGGGGCGACCGTTGAGCGGCGACCTGGAGGCATCCTCTCGACGACGCACCGTAGCGACCGGCGATCGCTGGGCGCCACTGCGAGCTCAACCGTGCCGAAACACGTGCGGCGCGGCCAGGCAAGACGAGCGGCTGCAGACTCTACTCGGACCTCAGCTTCGCGGATCTCAATTTTTCATAGTTCGCCCGTGACCAGCGCTATCGGCGATGGGCGCCAAGAACGAGTGGGACTACTCCATCGAGAACGGTGAGTGCAGCAATCGTCTTTCCGCAGAGTCTCGCCGTCGCTGTCTCACGCGTTTCCTCTCGAATTTCCGTTGCGTCTTATTCTTTACTGCTTCGCGACGTTCTGTGTGTGTGTGTGTGTGTATACACAACCGCGATATTCTTCCGCGACATCGAGGTTATGAAAATGTTGAGTAATTGCGTGAATAATTGAAGAGAGACAGATAACACACACGCGTGGAAGTGACAGGAGGATCTCCTCGAGGAAAGCCCTCGAGGAGAGAATCTCGGAGGGAGGCGTGCCACGCGGGAGTTTAAAATTGTTTAACTCTCCGCTCGATATTTCGAAGCGCGAGTGTTTATTGTTTACTACGGCGAGTTTGTCTAAAGAGCAATTTCAAATGTACCTTCGGAGTGATATTTGCTAAAAAAAAAGAGAAAAGAAAAAACAGAAAAAACACCGCGCTCGGCGAGGCGAGGAACTCGCCACGAGCGTGAGCGAATATTCTCGAAGCACGTTTGGAACGGCAAAAGTATCCCGCCGGGACACAATTTCCCCGACGTACGACAAACGCGACAGGCTCGGCTTGTCCTTCCGCGGCTGGTATTTGCGCGCTGATTACGCCGTCGTAAGATTTCTCCTCCACCCTCGCGTACCGTCGCGGATGCGTAATGAGCACACATCGAAATTATCGATTGTCCATTCTGTCACGACATGCATCGTGGATACGAGCATCGCATCGCATCGCAGCGTGTGCCATGCACGCACCGCTGCCGTATTTCTCAATTTAACGTTACGATCGTCCGTCGTTACGGTCAGCCCGTCGCCGCTGGGCGTACCTCGCTCTCTCGCAACTTGAAATTAAGCACGACGAGCGCATGCACGCATGCATGCATACGTGATAACTCCTATCGCCGGAGTTAATTGAATCGGCCGTCGCATAAGAGAGGCGATAAAGCGACTTTGGCGCAGGGGTCAGCGGGAATCGCGGCTTCTTTCCCGAGAGAGGGTATCGCGCTGTGAAAAACAACGCGCTCTCGAGAAAGCGCTCGGCCTCGAGTAGAGGAAAAACACTCGCGTCAAACACTCGGAAAGTTTCCAATTAAAAGCGGAGCGTGCGATTTTCGCGCAAAAGCCCCTCTCCCATCTCAGCCTCAAGTCTCTCAGCCGTAAAGCCATTTTGTATATTTGTTTCGCGACTCCTCTGTCTCTTCCTCTGTCTCCTTCTTCATCTACCGGATAGTGAAAAGTTGGCCGATAAGTTTGGCCGCTTCTTTTCATCTCAATGCTTCGTCGCGCGCGCCTTTCCAAGGGCTGTGTCAAATGTGACGACAATAACAAAACATATTGGCCGCACGTGTAAACCTTTCTCAACGTTATTCCCAAAGTTTCTCCTCTTTCTTTCCCCTCCCTCCCTCTCTCTCTCTCTCTCTTTCTCCTATATCAAAGTCCCGCGAGAACTTTGTGTATGACTTTAATAATCTCGTGATATCAGCTTGTTTCCTCACGAGTCCCCTTATCGCGATGTTATCCTCGGCGACGTTAACTTTGCAATTAACAATATTGCGTATCTCGTTGAAAACACTCTCACTCTTGCGTAACGATCCGCGCGCACGTGCGCGCGCGGGGGAACGTCCCGAATTATCTGCTCGCAAATAACGGGCGTTACTTTGAGCGGCGGTCATCAAGCGCGATTATCACTGCGCTCCGCGCACGAGTCGCCGGCGCGCGGCGCGGCGGTGCGTTGTCGCGCTATTTGTTAATTAATTGGTCCGCATCTCGCGCGCCGTACGGCGACGTAGCCGACAGACAAAGAGGGAGCGTCGCTCCGTCGGCGGGCCAAGCGTCGACGTGCATCCGGTGCGGGTCGCATGCATGCGTTTCTTCCCCAGGCTCATTAGTCGCTCGGACGTTTTTCGGGGTCATCTTTCGACTCGGTTTCCGGATGGCACCGGCGCGGCCGGAGGCTCACTGACCCGCGGCCGCGTTGTCTTCGCCGTCGAATGCAGGGCGAGCCGGCCGTGCCAAGCGTTACGGGGGTGCTTTCTCAGCCTTCGCGGAACACGCGGCACGACTCCGTGGGTAAATGAAAATCAATAGTTTTCTTCCGTACTCTAGGCCGATGCACCTGTTCCCGCGGAAAGTACAGCCGCGCACCGGCACACCACACACCACACACACCACTGCACGTGCAGGCGATCACGCATACAGAGGCGGGGGGTCGCAGACCCAGTTTCACTTTGTTCCGCCGGGTTGCCTTGCCGTGCATGCCCCCGAAACGCCCTTAATCTCGAGTCAATTTGTCAGCGCTATCTTTCAGCCGATTGCGAGCGACGGCCGCCCGCGCGCGCGCGCGCGCGCGCGCGCGGACGCTCGCGCCGCGATCGCGAGTATCGCGAGTTTCTCATGCAGCGCGGCGCAGCGGGGGATCGGGATCGCTGCCAAAATCGTAGATAGAGCGAGAGAGAAGCTCGTAGAGCTCGCGATGATTAAGTCATTTGGCTGCTAAGCGGCTGGCTCGGCCAGCGCGACTGGGAAAGGCTCGTTGCTTGAAATTGATCGATGTATTTGGCCGTCATAAATTATTTCCGAGAATCCGCCCCGTTCCCACGATGACTCTTGAGCAATTGCGGCTTACCGTTTAGCCGCGCGACACGGGCGGCTTTGTCTTACCCGGGGATTTATATCTTGTTTGCGGTCTCGCGAAGATCGGGGAATCTCCGGTCAGGAGGAATCGGTAACGCCGATAACGATTTACGTGAGATCGGTGCTTTTGACGATTTGCACGCGATTATTTATTCTCTTTTTATTCTCTGCCTCCCATTCTCTCTCTCTCTCTCTCTCTCTCTCTCTCTCTCTCTCTCTCTCTTGGGTATGACGCGATACGATCAGTACCGTTATCGGCATGTCGAAGTGACTCGTGACCGAGTCCGCGAGTCGAGATTCTTCAGCGGGAGGACCGGGTCGTTAAGAGATTAATGTGTGCGATACTGAGGTTCTCCGATTGCACTTGTGTTTGCATACTTGTGTGTGTCACGCGGTACTGCGGTGTCTCTATCGATTTAGGTTGTCGCCGAGGTGAACGCTCGATTTCAATCGAATGCCCGGTCCGCGGTAGAAATATTTTCATTCCACTTCTCTTCCGGCCGCGTCGTGCGTCGTGTATTCGAATATCGCCGGATATTGCGCAATCGCGACGGCTGATGACCTTAAGATCGCGGAATCAGAAATCCGCCTCGAAAGCGGACGCGAGAGCGATTACGCGATCCTCGGTTTCCCGGGTTGTCGCAAGAGAAAGAGAGAGAGAGAGAGAGAGAGAGAGAGTTTCGCGAAATCGCGAAGGAGAAACTGAGGGGAATTGTGGTCAAGTGCATCTCATACATCGGCCATTTGTACATGAGAAAAAGGAACGTCAGTTTGTGCAACTAAATAGAAAACAAGTGAAAACCCAGGGGAGAGAAATCGAAAAATCTTAGTCTGAAGATTTGACTGCCGTAAAACTCGGTTCAGCTAAACGCTAAAGCCTTACCTACAACTTATCTGTACTTCTTGCTTTCTGTTTCTGTTTCCTCATCTCTTTCTGACTTAAACCTTATATCTCAAGATAGAAAAAGATAAAGAATATAGGAAACAGAATATAGAAAGCGGAAGCATATTCTGGACGAAGCTTTCCATATTCTGGATTCTCTTCTGTCACTAGAGGTGATTCTAAAAGCGGTTTGCAACCAATCAGGAGGACCAATAAGCTACTTTTACAGTCACTTTTACGATGAAAGAGAGTTGAGGATATGAGCCTACGTATAAGCAAAACAGTCGAATCATGCAGAAATCTCCTGCAAGAATCTTCTTCCCGTCTTCGCAGCCGAGTTCTCGTCGTCGCTGCCCAGAAAATCAGTTGCGCGAAATGAGCATTATTTCGCGCGCGGTCGGCGCGTTTTCCACTCGTGTTTGTCCTTAAGTCCTCCGGTCTTTCCCGAGGCTCGTCGAGTCGCAAGGAAGAAACGGCATCGAACGGTCATTTGCCGTCTCGCATAAGACCGCCGCGAACACGACGGGGATTTGAGTCGTCATTTTGGAGCGTCGAGAAAATCGTTCGTCGTAATTTCCCGACGGTCAAAAATCCCCTCGATTGCCACGGCCAGACACTTGGGCGAATTCACGTCATGGAGCGAACGAAAGGACAAAAAGAAGAAGAAGAAGAAGAAGGAAGACTCTTGACGCAAATCGCGCGGGCGATTTTCTCTTTATTTTTATTCATCGGCTTTTCTTTCTATTCTTTCTATTCCAGCGGCAAGGACGACTCGCCTGTGCGATTATTCTCACAACCGAACGGCGGAAGGATAATCGTCGCGCTTAGTCCGACGAATATATCTGTCTGAGAGAGATCCTCGCTCGCAGCGCCATCGGCGGCGTTTCGCGCTTGAAAACTAACCGGTCAAGAAAGCGCGCAACTGCATCGCCGCGCGTTTTATTATACGACCCCGTTTATCCTCCAACGCGGGAATGCCACCGCGTGACCGCCGCTCTCAATGTCACCGACGGATTTATTACGCTCTTACGCCTACTATAGTGACTAATTCGTCTCGCTAATGCGTCCGACTCCTGCGCCTCTCTCGGACGACAAGGTGCCGGGCGTCGTGTTCCGAGCGTCTCTCCTCTCACTGACCGCATCGCCTGGATCTGGATCTTTCTTATTACGTAAGACGATGCATCGACGACGCGTTATCGCGAACCATCAACGGCGCATTTCGCGCTCGTGTTTTCCTTCTCCTTTTTTCATTTCGCAATGTCGAAATTTCGTCAGCTCGAGTCCGCGCTTGGGATACGCGCGCGAGGTACAGTCGCGCGTATCGACGAGATACGATCGGACGCGAGTTTTTCCCTTTTTCTCCTTCTTACGGACGAGCTACTATCGATGTCGTGGACACGCGTAGTCTGCGACGGGCGATCCAATTATTATTGCATACGCGATCGCAGTTCGATGACAATGACTCGAGGGGAGCTCTCTCTCTCTCTCTCTCTCTCTCTCTCTCTGTCTCTCTCTGTCTCTCTCTCTCTCTCTCTCTCTCTCTCTCTCTCTCTCTCTCTCTCTGTCTGTCTCTCTCTGTCTCTCTGGAAGAAAGGAAGGAAGGAGCCGCAAGAAAGCTCGCTCGAGCGAGCGAGAGTGATCGCATCGGAGAGTCAGTCAAGTGACGCGTGCATGATGCACGCGCTGCATGCATCAAGCGCGCACTTGTGTGCCGCATATTGTGTCACACACTGTGTCACGTGTGTGATCTTAGAATTGAGCCTGATCACGCGCTGAAGCTGACGATTGCGAAATTCCTTTTCTTGGCATCCGCGCTGTGTGTGAGATCGATCGGCCGCGCGCGCGCGCGCGCGCGCGTATTCTATTTGCGCGTATCGCCCGTAATGTGTGCCATCGGGTATATTTTTCACGAGGCTCTCTCTCTCTCTCCTTCGGCCTCGGATTCGAGCTCTCCCGCTGAAAGACGCCTTCGACATCTAATTACACACGGCAAATAACGCGGAGATCACGTGCGCCGATAAGGAGGTGATTAATGCGCCGGGGCACGTGACGTACGTCGCGGCGATAAGGAACACGTGATATTATTAAGGATAATCGGCTCGATCGGCTGTCGCTGAAGATTCATACTGGCGCGCCGAAGTGCTTCGCTCTGTCACTTCTCTCACGGGCAAATTGACCGAAATCTCACGCGGGACGCGCGATCGATTGTATCGATGCGTTTCAATGAGCAGCGGGCTTACGTAAGACCGGCGCGGCGCGACCTTCCGCGGTCAGCTTTTAGCCACTTATCGTCGTTTCTCGCTAATCGCACGTCGCACCTAGCGCAAATATACCGTTGCTTTCGCCGCGTTTTTCGCGCTAGCGTGAATTAATTAAGCCGTCACGGCAAATACGGGTGCAGCGCTCGGAGCTGCGAAGATACGAAGGAACGGTTCAGAAGCTTCTTCGATAAGAGGGAAGTTCAGTCACGCCTACGCTCGTGTCTCCGCATGTGACGAGCTTTCTCAGGTCGCGATGAATTCGAGACGAGAGAGAGAGAGAGAGAGAGAGAGAGAGACACTCGTGCTTACGAACAATGCTATCTCGCCGACGCGAGCGTACCTAGCGTACCTGAAGACCGAAGGCTCGCTTCGAAATCGATCGAGCGAGGACGGTGGGAGCGGAGATTATCAATTGTACTTCTCTACTTGTCGTCTCCCGCCGATCGCGCGTTACCTTCTCGATCGCGCGACGATCGCGCGACGACAACGCGCAATCTCTCTTTGGGCCCCTTTCCGGCCTCCACAACCTGGGCTGACTTTCGTTTTCGTTGCAGGCCCCAGCACGTGGGTGACCAAGTTCCCCATGGCGGCCGGCTCGAGGCAGAGCCCGGTGAACATCGAGACCTCTCGGGCGGAGTCTGACCACGAGGCCCTTAGCAGCAAACCCCTGCGATGGAAGTATCCGGCAACGGCCTCACGGACGCTGGTTAACCCCGGCTACTGCTGGCGGGTGGACGTCGACGGCGAGGGCACATGTGAGGAGTAGCGCTGCTCACTCCCTTATCTTTATCGTTATTATCCCTCGAAGCGTTCTCCGAATAAGAAGGACGCTTTATCGCGCTCCCGGAGTTTACCTGCCGCTCGCCTGGAAAGCGCCATTAACATATTTAACGAGGACCGCTCGCTCGCGGAGGTGAACAGCACCCAACGGCGCGCGCGCGCGCGCGCGCGCGAAGAACGCGCGAGCAAAAGAAATCTCGCCCTCCCCTTCGGAACATGGAAACGCGCGATCGCGGTCGCTCGCGGAACTTTGAATTGCAGATCATCAGGAGGATGCAAATGCGGCCCGTTGCGCCGCGCCGCGCCGCGCCGCGCCGCGCCGCGACGAAATTAACGTAGCGCCGTTTGCGCTACCCAGAAATGACGATCCAGAATAATTTTAGACGATTGTTCGCACTACGCTCCAACCTCGTCGCATCTTCCATCCGAAACATTCTACAAACATTTAACATTGGCGCAGCGCCGAAAAACAGGCCGCTCTCTCTCTCTCTCTCTCTCTCTCCCCCCCCTCTTTCTCTTGCTTCCTCTCCGCGGCTTCTGCACCCTGCGCGAATCGTTCCGTCCGCGACGACATCTTCCTCACGCAACGCGCTGTTCCTTTCCTCCCCCTTTTTCTTTCTTATCAATTTCGCGCGTATAGTTGCGTAAGAGACGCGAACGTGACAGCGCGCTCTGTTTCATCGCGGTATTCCGGCAGGCCGAGGGGAGCAGCGGGGCTTCTCTCCAGCAGGGTCCTCTCTGTCTCGCACGCAGCGGGCGATTTGAAATAACAGGCGTGAGCCGCGTGTACGAATATTCCCGCAGGTACTGATCGTATATATCGTTACGAAGGTTTCACTGTCGAGCTCGTGCCACTTAGGGAGGCACTTTTACCTTCGCGAAGTGCCCGAGGCGTATTCGAAATGAGGACGACCGTGCCGTGGCGTATTATATGTATTCATACATGACGCGCGAGCGCAGCCATATTCTATGGCGATATGTGACACGAAACAACAGATAGAATGCCGCGATAATCGCGCCGCGGCGATACTCGCACATGCTCGTTTCTGTCTCTCTCTCTCTCTCTCTCTCTCTCTCTCTCTCTCTCTCTCTCTCCGTACGGGGAACTTGATCGGCGGGAATTACGCCCGACGAGGAAAATTGCCGAGACGCCGCTCTCGCAAACTCCGCCGACGAGCCGGCCGCCCGCGCAGAGCGGCAGCAGACGGGAGGAGCGGGTAGGGAGGGAGGGGCGAGGGGGGGTTCGATCGAAATTTCGCCGTTCTTGTTCCACGCATAATTTTAGATCGCCTCGGCGCTACTCGGAGAGAGGATTCAGTCGCGCTCGGACGCACGGCGAGTCGCGCCGCGGCGCGAAAACGCGCGCCAAATCCGATTTATCACTCGCACGCGGCGGCGCCGAGGGCGAAACAACGAGACGACAGATAAAGTGCGTCGCAGCGAGTGCTCGCGCACTTTTCCTCCGCTCGACCGGCCGTGTCCCGTCCGTCTCGTCGACGCGAATGAGTCACGCGGCCACAAACGCGAACGATCCTCCTCGTTGCGACCCTCGTGCAATCCACGTGTGGCTCGCACTTAATCAAGCGTATCCTGTAATGGAGAGCCGCGCGACGCCGGAGAACGCGCGCTCTGAAAACTTGCGCACTGTCGGGCACCGCAGCGCCCGGAGCGGGAGAGTCGTCCCAAGTCGCGGTAGATATCCCGCGCGACAATGACAAGGACGCTTTGCTCTCTTTGCAGTTCTCAGCGGCGGCCCGTTGATGGACGACGTCTACAAGCTGGAGCAATATCACTGCCACTGGGGATGCAGCGACTCCCGGGGATCCGAGCACACGGTGGACGGCCAGGCTTTCGCCGGAGAGGTAGATCACTCTCTGTGATCCTTATCGCCCTGCCCGCAGGACACGGAGCGTCCGGCTCCTTCGATCGGCCGAAAGCCGAGTGTGTCATTTTCAATCGCACGCTCATGCGTGCGATTGACCGAAAGTTTCCCTCCCGCGTTCCTCTCGTCCTCTCTCGCACCGCGAACCGCGCGTTTAACTCGCGCGGCGTTCGCCGGCGAGTGTAAAAAGACGCGTGTAAAAGGTAGCTTCAGCCAATTACACGCCGATGTGTGTCGAAACGACTCTTGGCGTCGCGATGATTATAAAGGACGAAACGCGGAACGCGCGCGCGCGCGAGTTGGATGTCGCGCGTTTCGGATCCGCCGGCGGGCAATTAACCGCGCCACCGCGTTATTCGCAGTTAATGCTGCGCTCCGGATGCTGGCTCGTTGGTAATTCAGGCGCGTCCACCACTCGGGTATGATTCACTCGTACGAGCTTGTTGCTCGTACGGCAGCGTCGACCTTCGCCGAGAGGCGCTCGCCGGTGCGCGATATTTATCGCGCGGCGCTTTTTTAACTTCGCTCGAGGATAATTCGAGCCGAAGCTCGCGTGCGCCGATCGCTCGTCTTCTCGCGGTGTCTCGTTTATCTCCTCGCGCTTTTATCTCCTCGCACATGCGAGGAAAGAAGTATGTCATTATGTCAGAGGCGCGTGAAGCGCGGCAGGACGAGATCTGCAATTGGTGACGCGTAGTCACGGCGTAATAATTGCGGCCGTTCCGCTCGCTATTGTTCGTCCCGCGCGTAAGCAGCGCGTCGTTTCGCGGCTGTTTTGAACGTCGCATCGATTATACAAGCAACGTGCCAAATGTTCCTCCTGTTCTGGCAGCTGCGCGCCTCCCGGCAGCCGCATATCGAATTAGCGAGCGAGTAAGAAAAGAAAAAGAAGATGAACACGCGCCGGCAGCAACAATTGGCGTTATCACTCATGGAGACATTTTGCGTGCAAACAACAGATGAACCGCGCGTCACTGCACGTGAGGGGAACGCCTCGAAGACAGAAGACGGGCCGGCCGAGGAGGCCGAATGGAGGCGGTATTTAACTGGAAAAATTTTGCGCGCTTTCTGCCGCCGGCCTCGGCCGGACCAGCCGGAAACCGCTCGGCGCGAGAGTTCTCGCGAGACACTCGCGATAAATCGATTGTGCAATCGCGTCGCGCTTCTGATCTTCTCTCACGAGCAGCCGATCGCAGCGGAAAAACGTGTGGACGACGCGCGCGACAGCGAAAACGAAGGAAAGAAGGAAGAGAGCATTCCTCTCGTCGAAATCGTCGGGTCGACGACGACGACGACGACGACGACGGGCGAGAAATCGACGACTCGCGATTGTGAATTTCATTGACGTCATACGTCGTACGATAGAAGGATGCGAGCGTGCACCTGCGTACAAATCCTTTTCCGCGCACGCCGTCTCGGCCGAGCACGTCTCGAGTCTCGAGCGATCTCGAGCTCGATGCTAATTAAACGAGCCTAGTCTTAAACGCATTAGAGAGTCAATTGGCGATCGCGGCGAGCTCGCCACAATTCGATCGCCGCGCGCGCGCGCGTCCTCGATTCGTCGTCCTCGTCTTCGAGCGATCGCTCCGGAGCGAGCGATGCACTTTCCGCCTGCGGCGAGACGAGGACGACTCCTCGCCGACTCCTCGACGACGGCGGTCGTCGTGTGAAATTGTGCGCGGGACGCACCAATGATGTTATCTCGCGATCGTATCGCATTCACCTACAGAAGTAGGTTGATCGGATGCACGGATATCCGCGCGGCATTTCTCAGCGTCCAGTTACCGCACCGATTGCATAATCCCCCCCTAACGATTACCCGTCAGCCGCAATTATCATTTATTGATGCCGATAAAGTACTCCGCGCCAGATCTCCGCCGCCGGCAGCCGCTCGATGACGCAGATGATCGCTCTCTCTCTCTCTCTCTCTCTCTCTCTCTCTCTCTCTCTCCTCTCTCTCACGTATGCTCCCCGGCTTGTGTATTATACCGGCTGACGACAGCCAGCGAGGAAGAATAAGCGGCGACGGCGGCAGCAAGCAGCAGGCTCCGATTATCGAAGCGAGACAACATTAGTATTAATAAACGCGCCGGGCTCTTTTCCCAGCGCGTACATACGAGTGTAGAAACTTGTGACGTTTCTTAATTGCTGCAATCGGCTTCGGCCGATTAAAGTACTCGTCCGCGTCCGGTCGACCTGCCAGTTTCGCTCCTCCTCGATTGTCCCCGTGTATGAGACTTAATACGCGTGATTTAGATTCATTAACGGGATTCCCTGCTGTCTGTCTGTCTGTTTCAGTTGCATCTGGTGCACTGGAACACCAGCAAGTACAAGACTTTCGCCGAAGCCGCGAAAGCGCCGGACGGTCTCGCTGTCTTGGGAGTCTTCCTCAAGGTTGGTACGTTGCGGCTTGTGCGCCGTCAAGATTTCGCGAGGGTCGTCCGCGAGGGCGAGATTTCAGTCGTTCCGTCAGACTAGAGTGCGCGACGTAGGAAACGTTATTCTCGCGCGACGAGAACGTCGAAATTTGTTCGGCTGCGTGAAGTGAGCTCGGTTGAGATAATTGAGAATATAATCGTTCCTCGTCTGCGAGCGAATTTTCGCCCAGTCACTGGACGACGAGTGGAAAATCAATCGCACGAACCGAGTTTACTTTTTGTCAACTTTTTGTCAATATTAAAAATGACAAAATGTCAACGCTTTGACGTTTTTGTCAGTTTTAACATCAAGTCGGTATCAGAGGCCTGTTCGATTTCGAAACATCGATAATTTTTATTCGTATGAAATGATCGGCATCGTCCCCGGACATATTTTTGCGGACGTCCAACGAGAACTCGTTAATACACATCGCGTCTGCCGCGTGTCGCACGCGAATGCGGCAGAAGCGTCACAATGGAAGCCGTAGTTATTATCCGGGATTCTAACGCGCCACGACGCCTCCATTTACATAGCGCGCCGCGAACCAAGTCATAACGCTCGGCTCGAGTTTTTACGTAAGACGTGAGCTCGCCGCAAGCAGAATCCGTAACAGTGCCGTCATCAGCCTCGCCGTGATCAGTCGATTATGTAAACACGAGATACAGACATAATTAGCCGTCGGATCAACGGCGAAACGAGACGGCGTACGTTTTCGCGCGAGCGCGTCAGCGTTCGCGTTCGCGTTCGCGCGCGCGACTGCAATTACTCTCTTCCGCCTCGCGCGATACTTCTGTGCGCAACATTTAGGTTACAGCCGTGCAACTCGATATCCCAGCGAGAGAAGATGGCGCGATGCGCCATGAAACGACAGGCGTTTCCCGCGCGACGCAGGCGAGTCGCGCGCGAGATCAAACGCGCGATTTTCACGCGCGGGCAAAACACGGAGGTGAAAAGCTCACGAAAGTGTGTTTGTTTCTCGAGAGCTCGGGCGACTGCAGTCGCGGCGTTACGTAACGTCGAGCGATGTCTCGAGATACATTAGTGTCGCGTAGAATGCGAGAAACGTGAACGCATTGACGGGAATTTATGTGCCGCGCGCGGTACGCAACAACACGCCGAGCAATTCGGAAAATGTCATTGCGTAATCGACGGTGACATCGCTGCGAAGCCGAGCATTCTTATCGCTCGTCTCGGTCGCCTAACTATTTCGCGCTGTTTTATTTCCGCTCGTTACCTCGACGCCGCCCTCAAGCGCTTCTCACGAGCGCCGAGCACACGCTCGCGTTTAGCCCGATAAGCCGTTGTTACATGACTCCCACCCTGCGATTTAATCAATTGTATAATTAATAGGGAAACTGCGTTATATGCAAGTATTTATATGTTGATACGACGATGATGATGATTATTGCATAGACATACACACGGTTGACTTGTCGCGTTGTAGGTCGGCAAGACCCACGAGGAGATGGACAAGATCGCGCGTCTGCTGCCCTTCGTCTCGCACAAGGACGAGGAAATCGACATCACGGAGACGATCGACCCCGGTAAACTTTTGCCCGGTAAGTAAGTCGATATCGAACGGACGGAATTGTGCGATTTCGCCCCCTTTGATCAGATATTCCGTTTATTCGTCGCGTTCAGGTGCATAGCGCGCCTCGTGAGCCGCGTCCTTGTTGTTTTTAACATTCGTCTCCTTGCAATATTCAGTCGCGACGCGGTTAGGCCAGAGCCCTGGCCAGAGCTTGAATCGAGCCTGCCACAAGCGGACGTGTTTGTTTGACCTATGCGGAATCAATTAACTCGCACGTGTCACGTACGATCAAGCTCGCGCGGTCAAACTCGCGCGAGAACGCACGCGATGGACGTGCGTTGTCGACGAGCAGTCTGAATCTGAAAATTCGAAAGCTGGGCCCGATCCTCCCTCGGAAGGTCGCGATACCGAGATACAATTTTCCCAAGATATACCGAAACCTTCCCAAGACGGACGGAAATTTATATATCCCGGGGACGATACACACAGATGCGATAACATTTGCACTCATACATTCATTTACGGCAGAAACAGTATCCCCCTCTGATGCAATATTTCATTTCTAAACTGAATAGCGCGCGCGCTATCCACTCGACGGTCTTGCCGTGCCAAACGAGTAAATAGCAAAACGCACGCACCACGACTCTACCACAGTTGCAACATTTCGAATTCAAATTGTATCTCTCGATGAGAGATCGCCCTCGTTATTTCGATCAGGACGACGCACGTCCATCGGGAGAAGGCGTCGAAGCCGCGCGCGTCTGCGGAATTCCTTACGATTACGCCGACGACGCTGTTGCGACAAGTACGCGAAGCGTGCAATCCGCAATTAACGTTACTAACGACAATTTCTCCTTGCTATGTTGCCTCTCTTCCTCTCTCTCTCTCTCTCTCTCTCTCTCCCCCCCTCGCTCCCTCTCTCTCTCTCTCTCTCTCTCTCTCTCTCTCTCCCTCCCTCTCTCTCTCTCTCTCTCTCTGTCACCGCTCGTGCGCGCAACCGCACGCACCGCAGTGCGCGGTGGACGAGCCGGCACGCAGAGATGCGTGAATCCGTGCATGCGCTGGGCCGACCGAATCATACCACGCCACGAGAACAAATGGGACTTTCAAGGTTCGTATCGCCTTGAACCAGTTCGGAGCGAGAGAAGCTGCGCGCTCGAGCGTGCTCTCGATCGCTCGCTTCGTACGCTTTTTCCCGCCGATCCGAAAAACTTTCGCGTCTCTCTTGACCTCTCGCGAATGCACGGAATGCACCCCCCTCCCCCCCCCTCCCCCCCGTCCCCGCAGCATGCGTCGCGCTCGCTCGGCGACGAAGATTTTCCTGAAGACCCGCATGTCTCATGTGAGCGCACGCGTTGCCGTCGGCCAACGGCTCACACGGGCAGGCCGGACGCACGTTTGGATTCACATCGGTGGTGTGTGATGGATGTTCTTTTATCTGCCGCACGCTCCGACACGTGAGAGATTAATTAATCCAGTCTGGGGAGGGTTATTATTATTATTATATTTCGCAACGCGCCACGCGTTGTCGCCCGAGGCAACTCTCGGCGCGACGACTCTCTTTCTCTCTCGCCTTTAAGTTTCACGCTGACCGCGCACCCCCGGCTTTGTCCGTTTGTTCGCTCGGATATGACGCATGTGTCATTAGCGGTTAGTTGTTTGGTAATCATTAGCTTCGGAATTTAGACTTGACTAGTGCCCTCGAGTCACACTCGACGCTCCATCATCATGACAAACGACACGGCGCACGGTCGGTCGACGTGTGCGCGTGAATTCTCCTGCGTGAATTTCCACCTGCTCCACGTGGGATCGCCAGCCGAGAGAATGTTAACACCGACCAACGTGGCGCGCCGGTGTTATTTCGGGGACACGTTCGTGCCCGATTACGTGCCGATGAGATAAGGCAAACGGCAGGCTCGCATTTCCACGAAATATTTCCTCCCGGGGGGACGCAAGTGTGTAATTCCATTCTTTCCTCTTCCATTGCCCTCTCGCGTGGGCGAGTGAAAATTATTTATATTTGCGGGTGCTTCATCGCGAGAGACTCGAGACTCGGGGCCGTCCGATTAGGTTTTCCCCGATTAGGTCTCCCCTTCCAAATTCCCGAGCCTGCGATCGAGAAGGCCATTTCGGAATTGCTTCTTTCGTATGGTCGCGATGGAGGATAGAGAATCACACGTTACAGAGATCCTGTCGTTTCGCTGCGTAGAGCTGCTTCCACGCGAGCCTTGTCAGCGCGGAGTGCACTTTGACGTTGATTCAAGCGACCGCCTGGTGGGACACTCGTCCAGCATGTTGTTTCGTTGCGTTTCGTCGCTTTAATCGTCAGCTTCAAAGTCGGCTTCAATTTCTTCTTCTTCTTCTTCTTCTTCTTCTTCTGCGTGTTTCTCTCTCTCTCTCTCTCTCTCTCTCTCTCGCGCGCTCTGCAATCGCGTCGGACGACTTTAACGCGTTCTCCCTTGTGCCATTTAGACGATAACGGCTACTGGACGTACTTGGGCTCTCTCACCACGCCGCCGTGCAACGAGAGCGTCACTTGGATCCTCTTCAAGAAGTACATCGAGGTGTCGCACCGCCAGCTCAACATCTTCCGTAATCTGCGAAAGTTCCCACGCGGCGAGGAGTGCCCTTGCCACGAGAATCACGGAGCGGTGAGTAGTCTGCACGCTTGCGAGTGCGCCCCTTCCGCACTTTTGGTGAAAACGGCCGAAAACCTGGCCAAAACCCATTTTCAATTGAAACTCAGCTCCAACGGGATGTTTCTGTTGCACGAATAAAAAATGTTTTTGATCAATTAAAAAAATTAATTACCTCGAACGCAAACGAAACTTTTGTTGGATCAACCTTATGGATATCTCTGAATATAAGATGCAGAGAATATTTTCGACCACAAGAAAAGGTTGTTCAAATTGTTAGGAATTGTTTTTACAAATAATTAATTCGAAAGATTATGGTAGAGGTGATATTCTAAACTCGGACTGAGAATAAGAAATACAGATAAAAAGCAATTGGTTGAGAGAAGATCGCAGCAGGAATATTTGTTCATAGTCTCGGCAAATTGCCGAAACTCAGTTTCTGCCAACTTCATGCTGCGCTTACAATATTCCGGCGCGGTTTGGCGCGGACAAACTTTTTCTTATTTATTTCTACGTGCCATTGCGTTTTAAGCTCTGCAAGAGTCACAGCACCGGTTCATAACGGGGGACTCTGAGTCGCAATTCTTAATTAGAGTTACATTTTACACAACAGCACTATTTACAGCGTATATTTATATTAATTGCAACGAAAATTTAATAAATAACAATGTTATTCGAAGCACAATTCATGCACAACTAAACATCGATGAAAAGGTCTAATGACCCGATGTAGCTGGCAATCCTGTGAATGGAATCACTGATTATGGCTCTTAAAATCGTATAAGAGACTTATGGCTTTCATAAACTTCGTGTACTACTCGTAACTCCCACAAACGGAATTATTTTGCAATACACCTTTACAGAAGCAGTAGAGGAGGAGGTAGAATTAACAAAATATGATATAATAATGATTAAAAAAATGTTTAAAAAATGGGTTTTGGCCACGTTCTCGGCCGTTTTTTGCGACCACTGTGCGCCGTCGCGGCACGACTTCTCTTCTCTTCCTTTTCGACTCGCGGACGACGCGGCGGGGGGAGCGGGAACGCGCTCGTTGCTTTCCCTTCCTGGTCCTGACGAGGAAACATAGGGAACTCGGAAATTCAAAAAATTATGAAACTTTGTTGCGGGAGTGTAAAGTAATTTATCCGTAATGCAAAACTACTTTTTGCTCGTGCGGAATTCAAGTCTGAGGGGGTGAAACCACTTCTTTCGAAAAAGAAAAACCATTTTCATTTTTATATCCTTAAAACACAAGGCATTTGCAAAAATGGTTTATATCAAAGTTGTGATGTATTTCATACTCTTTGCGACTGTGCATCCAGATTTTGCAAAATTGGAGGAGGGCGGAGGGGGTTTCAAAAATTTGTTACTTTTAAAAGATATACGCGCTAAAAATGAAAATGATTTTTTCCTCCGCATAAACAAAAAATAGTTTTGCATTACGGATAAACTACCTTACTTCCACAGAAGGTTTCGTAAGGTTTTTGAATTTCTGAGTTCCCTATGATTCCTTGTGAGAGAAATACGCACTTTTTCTCTCTCTCTCTCTCTCTCTCGCACGCGCGCGAGGATGTTCCCGAGGATATCGCTTTCCTGCCGTGTCGCGCGTCTCACGTCGCCTCGGGCGTGATAAATGAGCGACGATGTGTCGGGCGATCGTCGATGTACATAACGGCGAACGCCTTCGCGGCGACGCGATTACCATTTCAACCGCGAGATGCATATCGTCTCCCCCTTTGCTGCCCCTTTTCGCTTGATATACGTCACTACCACGGGGTAGTGACCGCGGTAGCTCTATTTTTAGGTGAGAAGACAGAAACGCATTCCACCGTCGTTACTAATTTCCTCCTTTTTCTCTCTCTCTCTCTCTCTCTCTCTCTCTCTCTCTCTCTCTCTCTCTCTCTCTCTCTCTCTCTCTCGCCGGCAGGTGATCAACAACTTTCGTCCGACCATGCCGCTGGGCAATCGCGTCCTGCGCGAGTGCGGCAGCTTCTAAGGACACCTCCGCGCCTCCCGGAGGAGGGGCGCGACAGCAGGGACGATGGAATCGCGACCCTCTTCGCCTCGCCACGTCGTTTCCGCGAGCCATCGATCCCGACGGGAGCGACGACCAGGGATCACGACGACGACACGGCCGCTAACGCGGACGACGGCTGGCTGGCGTTCAACGTGTGCCTTTCGATTAATCAGCAGCGGATTCAGCCGCGAACAACAGCTCTCGCCCAGGGCTCGTAATCGTTCCCCCCCCCCCCCCGCCCGTAATCGAGGCTCGATCACGTGCAATCGATCCCGCGGCAGGCGGACTTTCGCCTCGCGGATTAGGAGGAACCAGCGTTCGCCGCACGACCGACCGCCGCACCAACTCGCGAGCTCGCGTCTTCTCGTGCTACGTCCTCGAGTCGTTTGCGAGGCGATGTAACGGGCACACCGTTGCCGGAACATTGTCTCTCTCTCTCTCTCTCTCTCTCGAAAGCGCCGCACGACTCTGTCGCGAGGTGGAAATGCTGCGGATCGCGTTCCCGCATCCTTCGCTCCGTTACTCGCGGAAGCCTCGCGGAGGCATCGACGACTACTTCGCGCGAACACTGTCGTGCCGATCTGGCCGATCGGGCGCGCCTTGACGACGGACAAACACGCACGAGGCGACGGGAAGATTAAAAGAAAAAAAAAGAACACTCGCCGGCACGCATTCGTGGCCAATTAGCGGCTGCGCCCTGTCTTTCGACAGCCTCAGGGACGCTTCGTGGCGTGGCGATGCCACCGGTTGACCGTGTCGCGTATCTAGAACACTCGTCTGAATATAGTCTCGTGTCCCTGAACGATCCGAAATAGCGCGCATTTCGGTGGACGGCTAATTCGAGGTGTGTGTGGCTGATCTATCAAGAAGCGTCACGATCGCAAGGGATCGCCGGTCAATTTCCGCCGTCAACTTGCCGGTCGCGCCTGGCCGGGTAGATTCGCGTCTCGCCGTCGCGTCGAGCCTGCCTGAGCATTTCGTTTTAATTCGAGTGCAATTGTACGAGTGAAACGTAGATTCAAACACTAGAGCGTCTGCTGCTTCTCACGCGCGGGGAAATGTCGCTTTCTCGTTAATTAGACTCGCTCGATTCAGCAGCAAGTAGAAACTGTGCGTTGCGCTTGCGTGCGCGCGGCCGAAGCAGCCGCGGAGACGGAGAAGTGGAGCCGCGTGGGTCCACGTGGATCGCGATAGCGCACTGATCGCCCGTCGCGGCTGGAATGTCTCATTAATGTCACCGTGTACGTTAGATTAACGTACGACAAATACGTGGCGCGGGATGCGGCTCTTTTCCTTCTTTAATCAACGCGGCCCGGCGCTGCGTCGACTCCGCGGTGTCAACGCAGTCTTCTCCTCGCTCGCAGCCGGTGAGGCTCCAACGAGGGAACGTCGTTTTCCAAGGAATTTTCCAAAGTTAAGTTCTCTCGCCGGGCGGCGCGGCGCGGCGCCTCGGCTGCGCTCACGGCTGCGTTTGGCAAAATGTTGAAACAGTGTCGGAAGCAAGCGAACGTTACGCGTATGCATTGTGGCGTCTGAAATATTGTTGATAAATATATTTATGAGTACAGGGTGCGTGCGCTTTTCTGTTGACGCGCGAGAGATCCGAGAGGGAGATGTATATACGTGTAAGGACGACGTTGCGCGGCTTGATTCGACCGCACGATGCGGCGGGGATCCGCGCCGTGAGAGCGACAACCTCTCACGGCGTCTCTCTTTCCTTCAGCGCGGCGAAGAGAGATGTGCAGATCGGGAGAGATGTAGTCGCTCGCGACTGCACGTCAAGCGCGTTATGCAGAGCGCGTTCACGATGAAATTCATGTGACATAATCGCGTTGCACAAAGTTTATCGCGCGCGCGCGCGCATAACTGACGCGCCGGGAGCAACAAGTGTGATGCTGCGCGATGTCGCGGTTGCGGCAGCGTCTATCGCGCGAGCGCGACTTTAAGACACACACACACACACACACTCGCGCGCGCGCGCGCGGCAACAGGTAACAATGACGTCTCGGTGCCTTTAAAAGTCAGAGGTGAGACTTGCGACAAGATTGCGCGACAAGAGTTTGCGGAGGGAACTGGTCGCGAGTTGTAACGAGAGAGACTCTCTTTCGCGTGGGATCTCCACCCTGGCGTGAAACGACTTTGCGACTTGTGTTGTGTTGAAAATGCGCGGCGATCAATCGCGAGCCACGGAGAGATCTCGAGCGCGTCAACGGCCTTTTAATAACGTAGACTATAGCTTTACTTTACTTGGTGCCATACGCTGGCGAATTTTATGTATCATAACGATGCTACTGTGCGATGCGATATATATACGTGGAATATATCAACACCTTTGACACACACCTAATCGTTACGTGTTCTCAGGAATTGCCGACCGTAAGATGCGGACTTTCGCGAGGTCTCGCAGCGGACCTGAGTCTGTTCCTCGAAGACGCTACAAAAGTCGAGCCGAGGTAACGGTGCGACATCGGTGTCACGCTCGCGAAGGCTGCGAAACCTCGCGAAATTCCGCGGCCTTTACAGTTCGCTTCTCGGCTCGGACTGTCGAAAGCGACGCCTTCCTTCGTCGCTCTCGGACGGTGCTCCCGTCCCCGACGGGAAAACTCTCCTTCGATTCTCTGTGTAGAATGTGGCGGAGTCGCTCGCCAGAAACGTATCCTACAACGAACAACCTGTCCTCTTCGATGGCGATTCGAGAGAGGCGATCTGTATTTGTACTTCGTAGCCTCTACTGCGACGGAGAGAAAATAAAGAGTTTTATTCGTTCTCGTAGTCGCTGATAGTCGCGAGACCGCGTCTTCCGCTCGTTCCGAAGCACGCGAAGGTGAGTTTTCGCGACGAAAGCCGCGAGCGAGCGCGCGCTTCTATTCCGAGAGAGTTATATACGAGAGGCTGCAAGGCCCCGGCAACCGCTAATTCTCGCAGCTGACTTTGATGTTCACCTGGAACGTCGAGCAGGACCAGTTTCAGAGGTGAGGAGGAAAACCGCTCGCGTGTACGACGTAGGCCGCGCGGGAGTCCTTCCCGTATAATTACTCGGAAACGCCTCGTAACGCTCTCGAGCTGCGAGATTAGTCTCGTGCAATGGTGGTGCGAATCAGCGCCAGAAAAATCGAAGCACGCGCGTGAGACCGATTAAAAAATCACAAGTTGCATCGGCCGCGTCGTTTGCGCCGTCGAGACTGTCCGAGGCGGCATTTCATTCCCCAACACGTCGAATATTTCCTCCGCCTCTTGCTCCGCCGCTGACGACGACTTTTGATTCTTTCTCTCGGAGCGTCTCGCTGCGCTTACCTTCGAAATCTTCTCTCATTCTCATTCGAGATGCGGCGCGGCCGCATCGAGACCTTATCGCTTTGTCGCTTTGTGACGCGCGTTCGCGAGGTCTCAGAACCGGTCAGCGTCTGTGCTGGCGGCCGCGCGAGCATCGCCAAGGGTTACTACACTCTCGCAGCGGTCGATCACACTCGGGGCGACCCCGCCTCGAGTAATGTCGCTGAATGTGTGTTAATCCTTGGTCATCCGCGTGCGTGTGTGTGTGTGTGAGGGGACCTTGAGTCCTCGATAGAAATGAAACGTCACGAGGCACGTGCGATCTTTCTTGCACCGTGTTACGCGCGGAACAAATTGTTCGCAATTACGCGCAGGCTGCAGGTGCAGGTCGTCCTTGTCCAGGATGATACGTACTTTGATTTTTCATCGGAAACTTGAGGAACACCGTCGAGACGTCGTTGTGTTTTGTGCTGATGCAACTCGAGCGGCGCGATGTGAGTGATGAACTCCTGAGGAGATTAGTTTTTCAGTGAAACTCCCGTTTGTTGATTGTTGTTGTTGATTGTTGCACGAGACATTTTTGCATGTAGCGGAAAATCGCGACGGACGCGAGTTTATCAACCGTCGATAACCGGCGAGTTGGTACCGCAGTCTTATCGACTACCGCAGAGTCGATAAATGGTACTATTCGATGGTAACTCGCCTCATTCTTCTCCTTTGCATTGTTTATCATCAGAGATAATATTCTCCTCGACTGAATTACGAGAGCTGATTGCGGATGAAACGTAATATACGTGGCGTCCAACGCATCGCGAACGCGCCGAATTGACACGCGGAAGCTCGTTATGTCAAAGAATTTAACCCACGTGTTCCGAAGAACTCGCACGAATCATCGTTACTCGGTAGCTGAACAAGCTCGGTCTCCCCGATAGAGCTTTGTTACTTCATACCTATTATCGCGTATGCCGTCAACTCGTAACGCTGCACTTCTCTCTAGGTCGGCGAACGTAACGGACGAAGAAAAAAAATTCAACGCTTCGCGAGAGAGCAAAGGTCGCCGCGGAGGCAAATCACCGGACAGGAATGATAACGAATGCGTAATCGTCGTATCTCTGCGCGCTTCATAAGCGTTTATAAATAAATGTATAAATAATCGGTCCCGTCGCCGTTCCTTCCTATCTCGCTCGAAAGAGCAAAAAGAACGAATCGCGCGCGCGCGCGCGACTTTCTTTCATCCGGAACGAATTTTTATCGACGGGACGGATGTTTGTTACGAACGACGTATCGAATCGTAAGATCATTAACTGAGTAACGAGAATTCGATTTTGTCATTACGACGGCGAATTACGTGTTAATAATCTATATACCTCTCTCTCTCTCTCTCTCTCTCTCTCTCTCTCTCTCTCTCTCTCTCGCCTTCTCTATCCGTCGCCACGTACGTCACAATCGGATCTACGGGAGACCTTTCCAGAGCTCCGTCGGAATTCGCAGATATGCATCGCGCCGGTCCGTCGTGACTCATTCCGCCAGCCGTTAATTATCATTCACATAGTTTGTACGTCGCACCTGCGCAGCGCGCATGCGCCACGTTGCCGCGCCGCGGCGGCATCGTAAAGACCATCCGAGTTGCGCGGCGCGTCGCAGTACGAATTCCGTCTTCGTCGCGTGCGCGCCGTCAGTGCCTCATTCTAGTTAGACGACTCTGTCAGTGTACAACTACAGGAGCAACATGGCAGTCTGTAAGTTGCACCTCCTACATACGTATATCCTGAAGCTCACGCGTTATACACGGTTTTTCTCCTTGTTTATGCGAACAAGGCTCGACTTCGTCGAGTCGCACGCGCGCAGTCGAGTTGCTTCTATTTACATTTTCTTGCGTCATTTTCTGTTACGAGGCGCATTTCCGCGGCTCCGTCTCATCATTATTCATCGCACGGCGACTCGACGATTTTCGAGTCGAACAGATATCGATCGATAACAACGACTAGCGTTTAAACAGGCACGCGCAACAATGTGCAAGAACGCGGAGCAAGCATTTTGTTGCACACGCGGCTGGAATCGACGCGGCTTCCGAGGGGACTTAATATCGTCTGTCATTCTGAAGAATTATCTCGTTAGCCTTTCGTTCAAATCTGCTTGGTCGATTGGCTTTCCGAGAGGCCAGACGGCCTCTGAAAGTTGCCTTCCGCCTAGGCGCGAGTTATTTTCGTCGGCGGAACTTGATTGCATTTCACGGACGACCGCGTCTACAGTAGGAGTCTAACGAGCCTCGATAGTAGGAGGAAGAGATCGCGTTCTTCCATCTTAGGAAGCCACGTAGTTTCTCTTCTAGACGTCCTCTAAATATAGAGATGGGGCGCGGCTGCGCCGGCTTGACAAGCCGGCCGGCTCGTCCCGATGTTTTACGATCGCATTGCGTTCAAACGATTCTTGCGGCGGAACGTCTGAGCGATTCTTCGAAAAGAAGATTGCCGGTACACGCTCGACGTCGCGGAAAAGAAATGTCGCGTCGTTGGGAGATTTAGTTCCGTTGAGGAGCAACTTCAAATGTCAAGATACCGATACAACAAACGCTCTCGCTTCGGTTTCCGAACGTTTGGTAGAATGAGCAAAAACCTCCAACGCAAACAAGTCCAACGCGAAGTATTCGCTGTGCGTGTTTTTACGCGCATATGTTTTTTCGACTAGCAGTCATGGAGTACTGCCGTGACTCCATTGCACTATATTTGCGTTTGTCACTGCGCTGCGTGAAAACTTTTCTTCACACCAGGACTCGCGAGTGAGCATAATTCTCGAGAAATCTCATATCACTTCGTCATTGCGAGCGAGTGTGTGAGAATAGATGCCGTACAGTACTCGACGATGAGTCTCTCTCTCTCTCTCTCTCTCTCTCTCTCTCTCTCTCTCTCTCTCTCTCTCTCTCTCTCTCGTGCGCCGGGTATAACAGCCTCGATTTAATCACGTCATAAGAATGCGACCCCCGGCCTTGTGCAACACCGCTTCCAGATTGTGTTTCGTAATACTCGCTTCCCGTGTCGTCCGGGAATTCGCCGTCTCCATGCGGCTCCTCCGGTTCTTCTTCTTCTTCGTCGTTTTGAAAATCTTGTAATTCTTGTTCTCTCCACAATCGAGTCTATTTTTAACATTAGCGCCTCGACATTCTCGTGTATTTATCCCGTGCGTCAACTCGTCATTATCTCCCCGGCTTCTCCCGCGTCGCGCAACGCGACCGGTTTTTTGCATATCGTCGAACGGAAATCTCGAGAGGAAGTTATGGGAAACTTACGCTCGCCGAACCAAGAATGGACGGCTCCCCCCATTCACTTCACCGTCGAATCCGGAGCATTCTGCTGACGTGGTACCGACTGCACGTGGCATTTGCCCTCCGAGTAAATTCCTTCAGCCGCGCCAACTCCTCGTCGCGAGCTCACATTCGCGCGAAGCTCAAGTCGTTGAGATAAATAAAAATCTCGCAAGCGCTCGAGGATCATCCTTCCGCGCGGACAGTGCGCATCGCCTCGTTACGTAATCGCGGGACGCGAAGGAAAGACGAGCCAGGTATGTAGAGACGAGACCCTCGCAGACAGCTGAAGGCGCTTCGACTTGCAACGCCGGGAATGTAAATTTTCCTCCATTTAAACAGCATTTAATTTGAATACATTTCTCGCGAGGATAGGTGAATTCCTGCTTAGCGGAGCGGCGATCTCGAACAGGCAGGCAGAACGAACATCGAGGCACGGAACATCTTCTCGCCGGCGTGTGCCAGCTTGTCCAGGTTTCACCGTGAAGCCCCTGTCCGAGGTCGGATAGAATTCGCCGGGGTAGGAAGTAGGAAGATCCTCAGCGGCAGGTGTGACCCCGGCGGGCAGCTGTTGACGAATTTCCACGCGAGCGTGGCTCGTTGTGATGTAGCGCTGCGCGCTCGCTCGCCCTCTGCTCATTGTCCACCTTGCCACCGGTGGCGAAGCAACGACAGTTGCTAGGCGAGGTCAATGGCAGCGCGATGCCGAGCGGCTTGGCGAATAGTCGCACACGCCGCCGCCGCTGAACCATCGGTCGCGATTCACCGTAGGATTAACCAGCGCGCGGCTGTTCTACCGGCTCTCTCTCTCTCTCTCTCTCCCTCTCTCTCTCTCTCTCTCTCGTTTTTCTCTTTCCCGAAACATGCAATCGTTTATCGTTATCTGGCTCCGTTCCATCCGGTCGATTGCCGAAGCGAATCGCTTCGTTAGAATGCTCGCATGGCTCTCGCTCGCCGCCGCCGCCGCTCTCCATACTTGACGCAATTCGAGAAGAATTGCGCGATTGCAGCGCGGAACTCGCTGATGGACGCGTGGATGTGCCGGGACGCGCGCGCATCGCACGATACCGTACGGTATTCGCCGCGTTGCGCAATGCGAATTGACCTAATGGCTCTAATCTTCGCATTGTTATGTTAATTGCGAGCGAGAAGCACGTCCTACATTATAGCGGCTAATCAATTTGCCGCGCAACGAAATTAACGCGATCCGGAGACCTCGAAGGAGACCTCGAAGGAGACCTCCTTCTGCGCGCTGGCAGGAAGAGCTCTCGAGCAGCTTCTCGCAGCGCGCTTCTCTCTCCCGGCTTTCTTCTTCTCGTCGGCGGCGGCGAGTCGACGAGTCGAGAGCACTCTCTGAACTTCTAAGAGTGTGGGAGAGCTCCTGAGAGACGAGCAGAAATCGAAATTCGCTCGAATGTCCCGATCCCGATTAGAGCGAGCGTTTGTCTCGCGCGATGCTGAAGTTCGTCGAGTTGTCCAATTTCGAGGGAGTACCAACCCCGCGAGCGGAGAATTTGCACCCTGTGCGGGTGAAAAGTTACTTAAATTCGAGCGACTCGGTCTCGAGTTCGAGTATATCTCTCTTCGTATTTCCTGCGAATGAAATTCCACTCCGAGACATTCAGAGAGTGCGGCACAGAAAGTGTCTTCTCTTTCCCGAGAAGAGCCGCAATTAACGAGAAGCGAACGGACGGATATCGTCGGATGTGTCTCATCCGTGTCTCTCCGAGCGCGATTAAGCTCTCCGACGCGCGCGCTGACCGGCGCGGCGCGGCGCGGCGCGCGCGTATCGAAGTATCGCCATTTCGGCGATACTCCGTTCTGAATCGCAGGCGTAGCGTAATGTGAAGTAATTGACGTAGAAATAAGGATGACATCAGCGCACGATGACATTAGTAGAGCCGCTCGCGCTCGCCGATGACCTCGATCCTAATGTCTCACGTAATATATATTCGCCGGCATTTCGTATGCATGGGCAACTCTCTCTCCCTCTCTCTCTCTCTCTCTCTCTCGTAGCGCAGGGCCGACATCCGAGGTCCCTTCTTCGTTTACAATATGTGATGTCAGCGGTGAGTACTGACCGGCGCATTGCGCCGGTAGCGCAGGTGACTATTTATAATCGTTACGTGCGTAACGCGCCCGCCCGTATTCTCCGACCGGTCGCGAGCGAGACTAGCGCGAAATAGAAGAAGACGACGGCCATTGGAAGCTCGCGGTTAGCGCGATATTTCTTTTACCGCGCGGCCTCGGAATTAATAGTTTGCGCGACAGGCTTTCGCTCGTCGCGCTGCTCGTCTCTTTCAAAGCCGCCGCTCTCGTGGCGCCAAGCAAGAGTGTGAGAGAAGTGCAGGATGCGAGAGAGAGAGAGAGAGAGAGAGAGAGAGAGAGGGAGACGATAGATACGATCGTCGATTATTGATTATTTCACTAAAAATCAGGCAACGCGAGCTTATCGTCGGCGTCGCCGTGATCTCACCGACGTAAAAACAGCCCGCCTGTCGCGGCGGGAAAATTACATCGTGTTTATTGAACACGTGACGAGGAGACGAGGACTTATGACCGCGTAACTCGATCGACTCGGAGATGCTGGCTGCCGTCTCTTGTGTAACGTCGCTCGCGCCATCGAAACGTCGATAGCCGTCGATAGCTCGACGATGTCGCCCGGTTGCTCGTCGTTGCGCGCATATTGTCGCACCGGCGCGACGGGCTTCATGACTCATCCTCTCCTGCGCGACAGATAGACGACGTCGCGTCGCGGGCGGTGCGGCTTTTACGAGCTTCGGCGAGTTCGCGTGTGTGCCGCACATGCGGCTCGATTACACCGGCTGACCTTTGCAGGCCCGTCGTTAAAATATTACGATCGAATCACGGGATGTAACAACGCATGTAGCGCGGGCAAAGCGGTTACGTAACAACGCGACGGCCGTGTTCGATCAGCCGCGCGATGCGATGCATCGATCGAGGGTCCTGCGCTGCCCTACTTTGGCGGCTCTTCCGCGACTGGCGGCGTCGAGGTGTCTCGACTCGCCGCCGCGCGCTATTTTCCGCGACTGGCGGCGTCGATACCTCGTCGACGACCTTGTCTTGTTTTCGCGCGACGATGCGAAAGCGACGAGAGGCGTAACTAACTTTCAAGGCCGAGCTTTCAAATGGTCCGCTTCGCATATTCCAGCCCTTAACACCGAGGACAAGCTGGAGTATCATTTCTACCCGGTGACGGCCGGACAGATCCAGTTCCGGGTAAAAGCGGCCAACGATGCTCACGTCGCGCTCACGACCGGTCCCCAGGAAGGAGAACCGATGTACGAGGTGAGACTCTTGCGTCACGCTTTCCTAACGCGCTCACATTTCGCACCGGCGCGGCGCGGCGCGGGGAAAGCCAGGTTGGAAGCCAGCGGGACGACGAGCGAGACCGGGTTTGACAGAAGGGAACGGGACTTTTGGCTGTTGAAGCCGAATCCGCCTCGTGCGAAATGCGGAAGTTCGGTTTCCTCCAAGTGAAAAAAAGCTTCCGTCCGTCGTCGCGTAAACTCGACCGATCTTTCTTCCTCGTGGACGATACGGAAAGTATCTCGGGATCGTCGAGCACCCTCCTGAGTATTCCGCGAATTACGATACAACAGACGCGTGTTTCATCTTTAGGTCTTCATCGGAGGGTGGAGCAACAGCAAGTCGGTCGTGCGCAAAAACAGAGCCAAGCCGGAGGTGGCGGAGGTGGAAACACCTGGGATCCTCAGCGGCGATGAATACCGCGGCTTCTGGATCAGGTGGGCGTTCGTTTTTAGACTCATTAGAGAATCGTTAAGCCGCGCCCGCTTAATTCGCGTCTTAATTGTCTCGCGTTTGTTCGCACAAAGTACACACACACACACACACACACACAGAGAATAGCGTATTTAACATGCGCGACGTTTCTCATCCGCTTTGTCAAATCCGCAGGTGGGACAGCGGCACCCTCACGGTGGGCAAGGAGGGCGAGACGGGCCCGTTCTTGACCTACGCCGACCCGGAACCGTTCGGGATCGGCTACTTCGGCGTCTGCACCGGCTGGGGCGCCACCGGTGATTGGCTCATCGAGGGTAAGCGTTGCGATCTTTCCTCCCTCTTCCTCCTCTTCTCCCAGCCGCGAGCCGCCGAGGTTCCGCACGTAGGTTCCTCGTCGCTTTCGTGTATAATCTGCCTCTGATGTACTACACCTGGTTTCGCAAATCGTAATGTAGACGTAGAAAGTAGTCATCTTCGCGCACAGGTGGTAGTAGCAAAGACAAGAGAAATCCCGTTATAAAGAAGTCCCGTAGAAGGTTAGATTAAATTAGATCGAGCCGTAGGAAGATCGAGCGGACCTTTCCGTTTCTTTTTCTCTCTCTCCCGTTTTTGTTCTCTCCCGTCGCAGGTGCATCGCCGTAGATTGGCCTAACTTGACTTTCTGATTTTCCGATGATTCCCCTCCCTGGCGTCTCTGTCTCTCTCTCTCTCTCTCTGTCTCTGTCTCTCCCCCTCTCTTTCGGACGTCTGACGGACGGTCTGCTAATCGGCGTCGCGCGGCTCACACAGCCATATGCTGCGGAGGTTCCGATGGTTGTACGTAACGTATTCTGAAGCCTACCACGAGAAAGGTCTTGCCAGAGTTTTGCGTTTAGTCGCACGTGCCATCCCCTAGGTTCCGCTTTTCTCTGCTCGAGTATGTTTGACTCCTAGCACGAATTATCCCATTCACCGATGCGCGCGACCGATGCTGGATCACGGAGACGTGAAACGCGCGTGACCCTCTGCGTCTCGCAAAGCAGAGCGTTAGGAATATTTGCAAAGAAGAAAAGGAAAGAAACAGGAGCTTGACTCGCGGCGCTTGATTGATCCAGCACGTCGACATCAGCTACGCACATCAGCTACGATTCAGGCACGACCGATCAATTGGTTCCCCTTTTCATGCACGTCCGCACATGTCAGTCGATATGCAGACGGGGGAATTTTCGAGTCGGCCATTTTTGCGCTTTTGCCTGTTGAAGAGGACTCGAGCGGATGTACGAGAAGTAGCATTCGCGTGTCGCGACTATTGACGACTATCGACAGATATGCTGCGACTTAAACTTGTACGCGACATCTCACGCGGAATTGATAATTTGGTTTGTTTAATTTTGTCTCTTTGTCTCTCTCTCTCTCTCTCTCTCTCTCTCTCCACACTCGACAAGGTCACCGCAACTCCTTGAACACCCCTAACAAGCTACAGTACATGTTCCATGCCGTGCGAGGCGGCTCGGTGCTGATCGACGTGAAAGCTAAGAGCAACGCGCACGTCGCGCTGACGAACCGGAAGGGCGAGTCGAGCCCCATGTACGAAATCATGCTCGGAGGGTGGGAAAACATGGCGTCCGTTATTAGATACGATCGCAAACAGCCCGACAAGGTTCGAGAAGTGTTCGTCCCGTCGATTTCGATGTGCGATCGACGATGCGCGACGCAAACCGGCCACGCACCAGGAACCGCTCTCTCTCTCTCTCCCCCTCTCCCGCCTTCTCTCTCTCTCTCCCTCTCGCTCTCGCGTCGCTGTCGCCTCGCGCTCCGAGAGTTCCGAGTGCGTGGCGCACGTGGACGGAGGAACTCGGCTCGCGCAACCGACGACCTTCCGTCGTACGGCGAGCGGCAGACGAAAACTCGGCCCGCAGAAAGAGTGTTTGTCATTCGTAACTGTGATCGCATAGCGATACGGAATTAACTCTTTGTTGCACATATTTTTCGAACGAATATAAATTTGTGATGCTCGTTACTCGAGGGTTTTTAGGCTCGCTGAATGCAAGTCCGGTGTGAAAAATACGAAATTCAAAATGGCGGATCCAACACGGCGGACAAACTTTTCCAAATCATTTCGTAATCGCTTGAAACTTGTTATTCAAGAGTTTTCGGGGTAATTACAAATTTGTTGTCGAAAATTCGAAATGTCAACAGTGACGACGGATGTATACACGGCAAGGTTCGGGGTCTCGGGGTTGACACCGATCAGATTGCCCGGTTCTCAAGCGCAGTCAGCTTGTTTCATTTCTATAATTATGTTCGCCATATGAGATCCGTCATTGTGAATTTTGTATTTTTCGCAGCGGATTTGTGCTCACAGCAGCGACAGCCATAAACCCCCAGATAATGATTCCGAGGTGTACGTTATCACTTGAAATTTTATGTAAACGAATTTATTCTCTAAAAACAGTTTTGTTCAGTCAATGCTCATTAATAACAAATTATTTAGTTGAAATGACTCTAAAAGTTGATGTATCGCAGTTGGCAGAACATTTTAATAGTCCAACAATCGCTAAAGTCGCTAAAGGAATATGCTAAAGAAATATGTGAAAAATTTAAATTATTGGAAAAACAAGCTTGGATGAGATGAGAGAGGACCACTACGCCGCAGCAAAGGGTTGAAGTCTAGAGGAGCGCTTCTGTTGGCGATGATAACCATATCCGTTGGCATAACATGAAGATGCAGTTGGCGCCAAAAATAACTACAGTTTTGGTAACATTAACTGCTCCTTCCTTTCACTCGGTGTTGTTACGGAAGGATGGTGAAGAAAGAAAGAGAGAGAGAGAGAGAGAGAGAGAGGGAGAGAGATATCGTCTCATTTTCTCTCTCTCTCTCTCTCTCTCTCGTCTCAACGAGTTTTCGTCTCCGTCTCGTTGCGCAAACCGAGACTCGTTCACCGTGCAGAGGCCGTCGCGCGTCGTCGCGCACTCGTTCTCGCTCTTACGTGGCAAACGAAAATTTGTATGCGATGTCAGGTGCGCGTGGACACGCCGAGCCTGCTGAGCGAGCACGAGCACAAGAGGTTCTCGATCACGTGGTTCGAGGGCCTCATCACCGTGAGAACGGGCGGTCAGAACGGTGCTGTCCTCATGAAATGGCACGATCCGAATCCCATCGGCGTGAGCTACGTGGGGGTGCGCACCGGTTGGGGTGCTACCGGGAACTGGAAACTCCGTTTCGAACAATACCCCGCAGTCGCTACCGCCGCTAGCGGCCGAAAACGTAATGAGCTGCCTAAATGGAAGAACGCAAAAGAAAAAAAAAGAAAAAAAAGGAAAAAGATACCGAATCCAAATGTCCGCCTCTCGGCGATCCGAGATCGACGTCAAGTGCCGAGAGATTGCGTCGTCGGGCGCGGCATTGGCCGATCTCGCGGTCGTTGAACGAGCGATTCTCTCTCGCTTGTTTGCTCGCTTTTGCTACGTCTTGTACGCTACTCCTCCTCCTCCTCCTCCTCGATCACGCTGCCTGGAATCTCACCACAATTCGGGAGTGAAAATCCCGAACGAAAACCCTTTCCCCGCTTCATAACTCGACGTTATTCACGTCAAGCTTGTGGCTGCCGCTTAGTTTCAGCTTCTTAGTTTTATTTTTTTCTTTCTTCTTCATTTTCCACCTATTAACCACGGGGAGTGGGGGGGGGGTGCACATTACGCACATACGCACGTTTGCACGTTTTAGTTTGGCTTTGGTGGGAGGTAAAAAATCGCTTTATTATCGCTTGATGGTCTCCTTCGAGTCGCGTCAACGCGACTCCCGCTCGTCCGCCCAACTTGTTGAACGTAGGAATCGCGGTCGTAGATCCTGGTACTACACCGTCCGCGCCGGCGGAAATCCGCGACATGGGCAGCGAGTGCTGGTGCGACGCGTCCGGTGGAATGGTGCCGCCAGGCGCGGTCGAGGGCGGAAACGACGGCGAGACCTTGTTCGTCGGCAGGGCGCGTCACGAGGGTGCCCTCATCCCCGGTAAGGTGAAGCCCAGCCACTGCGTCTGCTACGTCGCCTGGGGCGGCTCTGAGCACGGAAAGACTGATTATCAGGTGAGCGAGATGATTCCGTCGGGAGACTACCGAGACGTCCGAAAGACGGCTTCGGGCGGCTCGACAGTGAAGTTATTCGTGTTTACACAATTAGATAAATAATTAGACGCAATTGTCAGTAATGTATTTATTTATTTATTTATTTATTAATAATATACGGGTCTGACCCGTCACTTTGATACACAGTAGAGTAGAGAGACAATGGTATAACGAGTAAAAAGATTCTCGTACAATAAATAGGGAAGGAAAGTAAAGAAAAGAACAAAAAGAAAGAGAGAAAGAAAGAAAGAAAGAAAGAAAGAAAGAAAGGAGAGAAAAAAAAATAGATAAAGGTAGACTGTGAAGCGTGACAGCTCTGCTTGTAAGATTAACGTTCCTCTTCTCTCCTATTATCGTTCACACCTCTGTCTGTAGTTATATCGTACTCACATCTTGGCACTTACACTTTCAATTGTCGTATCGCTGATTTTTCAGGTTCTTTGCGGATGCAACCCCACGTGGCTGCCGTGCAGCGGCGGCAACATCCCGCAGAACGCGATCCCGGGTGGCGAGACCGAAGACGGCGAGCCGCTCTTCATCGGTCGCGTACATCACGAGGATACTTTGACCATCGGCAAGGTGCACCCCTCTCACAGCGTGTGCTACATACCTTTCGCTGGCTCCGAGGTCGCGTTCCCCGACTACGAAATCCTGGTCTCGCAGTAAACGCCATGGAGAAGAAACCGTCCGGGGCAAACCGATGGAAGCTGCCGGCTTTATCAGCAGTTCTGCGGAGAAGCGCGAAAACAATCTCGATTTCATGACAGTATCGCGAGTATTCTATCGCATCATCACGAAGAAACAAATTGGACGGAGTAGCTGAATTTCCTGCGAAAAAAACCCGCGAGACAGAGAAGCGAGGGAGGATCGATCAAGCCGCGACTGCGGTCGACTGTGTCGACGTTGAACTTGAAGAATCTTTGAGACCCGTCCGCTTGTTAATTTTCTCGGAGGCCGAGCATCGCGTTTCGCTCGCAAACTATACGGTGAGGGGGGAGGGGGGCAATCTCGAGTGTGCGAACTAGTCTAGTTTACATCGTAAGTCGCGACTTGATGCCGCAGAACTGGCCGATAAAGCCGGCGACGCGCTGTTCTACCGTCGCCCGCGCAAAAGCGTCTGCTTATTCGCACAGAGTATAAATTGCAGCCACGCTATAGGAAGAGCAAATCAAACGGCAAATATACGCAGCTCCGCTATGTATGCTCTATACATATACATATATCTTGATTGGCTCCGGATAACCGCCGGAACAGATGTTACGTTTATCGTCTCCGCTGTGGGACGACGAATCATAGAGATATATATATATATATATATATATATATATATATATACACACTATATATTTTTCATGATAGCTACCGTTTTTCTATAACGCACAATACCCCATGCTTTGTCAAAAAGTATATTTTCGAACTCTGTATTGTTACAATATAGAAGAAACGACAGAAAAGTCCCCTCATTGACTTCCCCTCTGGTGACTATGCGTATACGTTATTTGCACCGAGCATATTTCAGTTTTCTTTCCTACATCATCTAGATTTATTTTATTTTATTTATTTCTTTTGTTCATTGGAGACGTATCTACGCGTGTTCCTGCGGTTGGCAATTTCAACACGTTAAATGCCGTGTCGGTCACCGCTGACCGACAATGCAAAATTTGATACATAATATCCCGATATTAAAAATAAAAAATTTTAATTTAAAAAATTTAATACATATAATATCACAATATTAAAAATTAAAAATTTTAAGATCACGAGACAAGGAAAAAATGTATCTACATATTATTCTTGTTAATATTAATATACGTACGTACGTACATACGTACATGCGTACAGATCAACAGAAAGTCAAAACAGCAAGTCCTTTCTCGCCTCTCAATTACATCGGGAAATGCCTATAAAGGAACTACGCGGATCTAGAAGCGTGTGTCGTGTATACATACACGCGTATGTATATCGCAAAAATACGCATATGAGATTACATTCTAATCTGACATTTGTGCCCTCGTATCATTTCGCCGCACGGATGTTGGATACATTTCTCTCACTCGCGCGTTTAAAGCCCATGCGGGTTTTAAAGGGCGAGAGTAGAGGTAGATAGCGCGACGGGGCACGTGTTTTTGCGTAGCGTGAACAGCGTCGTGTGGTAACACCTGTCATCCGTGGCCGATCAATGAAACCATTCATGAGACTCTCGGCGGTAGCGCGGCGCTAGCTGCCTCGCAACAGCGAGTTTAGCGAAGCAATGGCGGCGGCCGAGCTCCGGTGGTCCGTCGTCGTTAAATGTCAAACGCCAGCGAAAGTCACGGAGTAGCGAATCGTCGGTGACATCTCGCGGTCGCAGAGATGGCCGCGAAGGAGCCAGCAGACGCGATCGACGACGGCATCGCCGAGTCGGGGATCGAGCCCGGCGCCTCCACGGAGACGATGCTCGTCACCACCGACAGTTTCGACGAGTATGAGCAGGAGATGAGCAGTAGCATCGATGACAGGCAGATGAAAGAGAGCACCACCAGCACCATTTCGGAGATCCAGGAGGACACGCAGACGACACCCACCACCGTCAGCCCGCGGGAATCCGAGAAAACCCTGTCCCTCGACGACTCGGAAATGGTATGTTTTCATAACCTCTTGCTCTCCACCAGGTAGCGGACGACGAAGCGGCCCGTGCGGACACAACGATTCTCTCTGGTTATTGTCTGAGCGCGTGAAAAGTGTCCACTAGAGTCGCTCTCTTCTAGGATGATGTGACGCACCGTCTGAGTCAGAGCAGTCTAGATGGAGATCCGTTGCACTGCAAGACGTGGTTAGCACAGAGGAAGCACATCTTCATTCTGAGTCAAGCTGGGAAGCCGATATACTCCAGATACAGTTCGGAAGACAAGCTAGTCACCCTTATGGGGGTCATGCAGGCTTTAGTGTCGTTTGTTCAAGATGGCAGTGATATGATCAGGTCGGTGCATGCGGGCAACACAAACTTCGTCTTTGTCGTTAAGGGGCCATTGATCTTAGTGGCGGTATCCAAAACCTTGGAGAGTGTACCTCAGCTTACTTTACAGTTAACGTACGTATTATCTGATCTGACAATGAGATGGCGTTTCTGTGTTCAGTGAGGTATCTTGAGTCTACCACGTCTTGTACATTTGACACAATCACTTGCAGATATGTATATAATCAGATAGTCTCTGTATTGACACAGTCTCAGCTGAACAGAGTGTACGATCAGAGAAGAAACTTTGATCTACGGAGATTATTAACTGGTAGCGAAAGACTGATAGATCATTTATTAAACTTTATGGATAGGGAGCCGGCCTTCTTTCTAGGGGCCATTAAATGTTTACCCCTACTACCCTCGATGAGAAGTTCGATTACGCAGACTATCATTCAAACGTGTGCTAAAATCAAGGTAAGATGCCTGGCAGAGACGAGAGAGAGAGAGAGAGAGAGAGAGAGAGAGGCGACGGTACACGGTTCTGTTCTGTTGAAAACAAGAATTGTATCTTTCAGAATTTAGTGTTTGCGATACTTCTAGCCAACAATCAGCTAGTGACGCTAGTTAGGATGAACAAATTTTTCCTACATCCAATGGATCTGCATATAATACAAAATCTGGTAGACAGCTCCGAGTCGCTGAAAACGGCCGAGAGCTGGACGCCGATATGTCTACCAAAATTCGATCCGAACGGATACATGCACGGTCACGTTTCGTATCTGGCGGAAGATTGCCAGGCGTGTTTGTTATTACTCACTGTCGACAGGGACGTATTTTTCGTGCTCTCGGAAGCGAAACAAGTAAGTCGAAGTCACTGCGCGGGATAACATTGATCGGACAAGCGAAAACGTTCCGCGCGAGTTACACGCGAGAAATGTTCTTAGAAAATTGTGGAGAAACTGCGGCGGACGAATTGCTTGGAGGCGATAAACGAGTCCATGAACAAACCGACGATTACAACCGTTGACATCGGGCTACCCGAGATGCGGCACGTGTTGTACAAATGCAAGAGCACCGCGCAGTTTTGGAGCCCCGGGCTGCAGGCTCCTTACACCACGGACGAGGAAGTAGAACGGTAAGATCGAGTGAGGATCTTTCGAGTAAGTTTTTACGCTGCTAATGGGAAGTGTGCGCTAGCTAGTGATGGCACAGCTGAACATTGGTCGCTAACGTGGGGGGATTACAATGTTAATGATGACTTAAATTAACATTTACTTTCAGACTGTTGGGTCTTTATCAATGTTTACATCATAGATTGCACTCTCCTAGTCGGCCGTTGAAGCTTATATTTCAGCAACTAGACAAGGAAACGATGTTGGCATGGGTAAGGAGAAGAAGAAGTTACACCTTACACCTCCCAACTTTTTTGCTCCCGCATATTTTGCTCTCAAGTAAAACGATTGTTTCTCTCAGGTGGCTTCTGGCTTTGAATTGTACGTAACATTCGAGCCTCTGGTGACGAAGCCGGACGCTATTGAGGCAGTCAGCAAGCTGTTAAAGTGGATCAAGAAGGAGGAAGAGAGGCTGTTCATCTTGAATTCGCCCACGTTTTGAACAATGTCGGACGTCACTTTTGCGAGTATAGAAGTAATTCACATTACTGACTTGAGTAATGTGTAAGAGAAGGGTTAGAAGGGTTTATCGAAAGACCAAACGTGACTTGAGAACGTTTGAGATTTATTACAAACGGGATTCCAAAGCAAAGCGTTTTCGCGATAGTTTTCAAGTGCAAGAATATAATAATTATTCGTCCATTGTTGATAACAATGCCGTTCACTATTTTTTTATTTAATAGAGCTGTTGTAATATAACGCAAGTTTATAAAAATGTACATATACTTGAATATCTTACGCGAACGCGCTTCTGATGTAATATTATACACTATAATTTTCATACCGAAATCATCTCCTGCCGTACATGTCACTCACTGAACACTAAATACATTCAGACAATGCTGAAAAGAAGAAACACTAGAAAAGGTTATTTCTCTCTCTCTCTCTCTGTCTCTCTCTCTTATTCATCCATTGTTCATATAAACCACATTTGATAAAAATCCGCTCTTGCATATTTTGGTAGTTTAATGCCTAGCTCTGTCGCGTTCCCTTCTTCGATCCCTGTCTCTTTCCCTTTCTCTCTCTCTTTCTCTCTCGCGGTCGTCTCTCCTGTGACGATCTCTGTCTCTTTCTTTATCTTTGTGCGAAGAGTGTGATTTCGGGGATTTACTGCGTTTACGTTCCCTTCTGTCTCTGTCTCTCTCTCGGCTTCTCGACCTCTGCTTTTCTTTCTCCAATTTCTTCTCCGACCGAGAATGCCTCTTGTCTCTGTCTCTGTGGCGATCTCTGTCGCGCTCGTGATCGTCCGGTCTTTTGCGTGGTACTTCCTTACTAGGTACAATCTCTTCATCCTCTGACGACTCGATACCATCATCCATGTCATCTTCCAATGCAGATATCTTGGCCTCTATCAAACAAAACCAGATATATTCACGTACACATACCACAAGCAGAAGTAGAGGAAGGAGAGTAGATAGATATATTAGATTAACATAATTACCCAGCTCATTATTTTCTTCCAAGACGTGTCTTTTTTGAATCCTTGGTAATATAACATCGCAACTTCTTTCCTCCCTCAGGAGATTGTCGATGAACTCGTCCATATGTATCAGTTCGTACACACCCTGCTTGTTTTGCATTCTAAGTTTCCTATTGTCATTGAACAACGGCTCCAGGTATTTGTAACAGTCCAAGGAAGAACCTGTCAGTCTCATATAAAGAGCACCCAAAGCTCGAACATATTTAAACTCCTCATTCTTTATGAACTCTACTATAATGTCCTTCTCAGGCTGTATTTGCAGCATTTTCAATATAAGGCAAAGAAATGGTGTTGGTTTCACGTTGCCGCCATACACTCCTCCTATATATCTACAAGTACGGGTAATAGGTGTAATTAATTATAACACTATTGAAGAAAATAACCTTTATTTCAAGATATGAATATTTTAAGTTGAAACTTGAGAAAATGCCGAGAAAAGTATGAAGAGGTTATATGTTTCTAACCTCAACTCCATCGCCTTGTCGACTAGCAATTCGGCCGTTAAAGCGAAACATTCCTCCTTCCAATATTTGGAATCGTATATTCGAGACCTGATAATTTTTTCTACCAAATATTGCGGATTTGTCCCGCGAATAGACTTAGCATCTTTTACCGTGCGATTCGCCATTTTCTCTACGCACCGATACTAACACATTGACAAAGACTGTTGATCTTACGGGATTTAGCGTACCAGAGGAATCTCCCTCTGTGCACTAGCGTCCTCTTAGGAATATCGTGGCCGGAATATAAAACATAGCTTGAAATAAGCATGGATGGTAACAGATATAGAATAATGGGACAAAGGAATTCGGAAGATATCAAGAGACGACTTATGCAGAAAACAGGCCGAATGTGTATGTGTTGTGTATGTCTCTCCTAGGATTGCGAGACGTGAGAAAATTTAGAATAATTTTTATCTTAAATATATACACACGTTGGCATTCCTTAAGTTAACAATTCCAAGTGTTGAAATAATACTAAAATTGCGATCGAAAACACATGTACAGGGTGTTTCACGAATTCCTCGCTCCGAGGAGAGACTTATATCCGTATTCATATATCCGTATATTCAAGCCTAAAGGTCATTCTATAATATGTGTCGTAAGTTGTAAGTCGTAAGAACTGACCAATTATAGCCGATTATTTTTCTAATAATCGACTGTGATTCGCCAATTCTTACGACTTACAACTTACATGCATTGTAGAATGATCTTTATATTTGAGGCCTCCTTATATCCATCTTTAGATGCTGCACGGATTATTTTATCGGCTACAGACCATCTGAAGATAAACTTAAGGAAGCCTCAAATATAAAGCCTGACTATGAATACCGGCGGTGTTAGCGGCACTCGATGTCACTCCTTTCACGTTTTCGAACAACTACATCCGAGAGCATTCCGAGCATTTTCGAACGGCTATGCTGGTGTGTAACAGAGGACACACGAGTGGTGCTTTTCGAAAACAGCTTTCATTCTGTGTCCACTGCTGGAAACGAGGTGTAACTGCTCCCGTTAATCACCATCGGAAAATTCATGGAAACACACAGCGGATTAAGGTAAATATAAAATACCCATGCTATTTTGCAATATATGCAACAACTATCGAGTTATTAATTATAGAAATCAAACGAAAGAACACGGGCCAAGATGTCGTTATCCAAAAGGCATCAAAGCCTCTCAGGCCCAAGCCTCTCGGCATTTTTTTACAGCTGACGACGATGACGACGACGGCACGTGGGCTGAATAACACGTGGGCGAAGCTAGTGAGGCCGCGAGGCCGCATCGCCGCAGCGCGAGGCGACAGCAGGCAAAAATCACTTTTATATACCGATAAATCTTTTAGCTGAAACTCATACCACGATTTATCGGCCTTCTCAAAATTTAGCCCAGATTCAAACCGAGGAGTATAATGGTTATACGGTAGCAGGTTGTTTCCATACAGTCTTAATATACAAAATGAGAAGAAAAACCCAAATTAAACCATACAATACCTTACAATAATTTTATTCTCCAAATATAAATGTGCAAAAAATATGAATTTATGTATAAGTTTCGAATTTTGGGTTTGGAGAATATACGAACGAAGAGTTATAACTCGAGATACGTGTCATTTTCTTCATCATTATTTTCTTATTAGTTTACATTAGAAGGACGTAATAAGCAGAGATGGCACAAGTGTCTGGCAGGAAATTGAAAGAAATCTGTAAATTTTGCTTATTTACTCAACGTTTGCATTTTTATATCAAGAGAATATAACAAGCGAGGAAGTAACGCGAACTTCTGGCGCAATATTTAAAATCTGCAAATTTTCACGCGACTCCCCGATTTTGGTATTAGGAAAATATATAAGTTGCGGGGAAGTAACCAGAATTAAGTCGTCGGATTTTCTCCGTCCGATAATTTCTTAGTTTCTTGGAAATTTTTGATTATATCATTAGGATAATAACAATTAACATTTGTCATCTCTTTCTGATTATTATATTTATATTTTAATTTTTAGAACGGACAGGATTTAGAATAAGGAAACATGGTGAGATGAAATTAAAATAAATAAATGTATTTGAATATTATATTTGTTTTTTCATAATATACATTATGTAATAATGTAATATTAAGTCACATCATATAATATCATACAATATACAATATAACATCAAATAATATGATATATAATCAAATAATATACAAGTGTGTTTGTATAATGTTACAAAATTTTACCTAAAGTCTTTAATCTGAATCACTTGTGAGACTTGAATGTTTATAGGAATACGATAGAAATTTATATAAATCAATCTATTGTTACGTTTGATCTGTTTTCAGCTTCAACAACCGCGATAAAACGCCGGCATACTGATACACGTTACGTTTCCGCAGAGAGACAAATAAATGAAGAATCTCATGGGAAGAAATTCTGTTTACGAGAATAAGAATGTACATTATGGAGTAGCAACATATATCGAGACAAAGAAGAAAGAAACGCGTGGAACTTGTTAGCAACGAAATTCCTTTATAAGAAATATAATGCGAGCGCATTAACGTGCGAGAGAGAGACCCATTGCCCCATATTTACGTTATGAAGCATCCAAGTAGATCCCCGGAGGTTTGAGCGCAAAATCGGCCCGTTATATTGAGACAGAAAGATCGTGGATTCAACAAAGCCAGTGTGTGGCACGTCACCTTTTCGGTGTCACCTTTCTCTTCGTGCTCGCTTGGCGGGATCTGTAAGAGGCCATTCACGGCAAGCCCCTCTTTTCCGAGTCTTTTCTTCTTTACCTCTCTCCCTCTCCCTCTCTCTCTCTCTCTCTCTCTCCCTCTCTCTCTCTCTCTCTCTCTCTCTCTCTCTCTGTCTCGCCTTCTCTCCCCATCCTTCCCGCATACTCACCTGGCAACCTGAACTCACCTGAACGGCCATCTTGAGCTGCACCGTCGTATCGTGCTCCTCGTCTTTCTCCCGAGTCGCATTTTCCGCTCGTCCTTGTGAGCGACCGCGTCGCATGCGCCGTTGCACATGCGAGTCTCGTTGCAGAATAGTGACCGCCGGTAACGTTCGTCGCTCCAATCGTGCTTCCACCTGCTTCGCTTTCCGCACCTTCGCGCATTCCTTCGAGGCCCTGCGTCGTCGCGCGCTGCCGACGTCATTCGTCACTTCCTCTCTGTCGGAGTTTCCCGCGAGGCCCGCCCCCGGACAAGTGAGTCCGGATATTTTGGTGAGTTGGAGATTCCCCACAACGTTGGGCTGATGTGTCACGCACCTTAGTAATCATATTATCACCCTTACGGCTGGTAAACGTCATACGTGTAAGACAAGTTCCACGCGCTTCGTTCATTCATATCCGCACATTGTAGCTACCCGCGATACAGATATCTCTATGCATGCGTCATACGTGAGCAAGAGTAACGATTGTGCAAACAACGGCCGACTCTAATAAACAAAAGGGGGAGATCCGCCCTCCGCGACTGCGTCGATTCTAATGTCCAAGTGTTTTGAAAGTCAAAATCCCGTCAACAGGTGATACCCGCCGTGGACCCTCTGCGAGAGGAGCTCGGCCGGAGGTAGGCCGGTGTGTGGCGGAGGAAGGCGCGATCTCGACGGTGAGAGCGTAGCAGTCGAACGTAAATGTCACGGACTCGGTCGCCGGTCGCGCGGCGGTCTGATCGCGGATACGGCTGTGCGATCGTCTCGCGCTCCGTCCTCTCCGGAGTGTGCACTGAGGGAGCGGCGGCGATGAGGAAACAGCCGGCAAGCGCAGCGGAATAGTCGACCGGCCGCGTTAATCCCCGCTGATCCTGGAAGACAGCCGCGTCGTCGTCGTCGTCGTCGTCGTTGTCGTCGCGGAGGGAGGGGAAGGATTGAATCGCGAAATCTCTCACGTCGCGCCGTGTCGTTAGCGCACAGCGAAAGTACAGTTCTTTGTTCGCCGAGTCTCTCTCTCTCTCTCTCTCTCTCTCTCTCTCTCTCTCTCTCGCCGATGGACTGCTCGCGTGACTCGCGTGTCTGGCATACAACAGTCCCATTGTCGCCCGACGACAATCGGCCGATGGAGAGTAAGCTCTGAGGCGACCGACGAGCTTCCGCTTCCGAGTGCGTCGCTCGACTCGTCGAGGCACCGACGAGCAGCCACTTCGCGGTTCCTCCACGTCGCCGCCGCCGCCGCCGCCGCTGACGTGACGTGTGCCGCGGCTTGGTCGCGTCCGATTCGTGTTCGGGTCGAGAGTGACCTCGCCGAGGGAGATACGCGAGATCTCGCGTGAGTGCAGCCTGACGACCACGACCACGACACCGAGAGCGGACACCTGGAGATTCGAGATGGGCTCGAAGATAGAGTACGTTGAGTCGTCGCACATGTACGCGACCAACTACATCCGCAACTCCAAGGCGATCGGAGTGTTGTGGGGTATCTTCACCATATGCTACGCCATCATCGGTGTCGTCGCGTTCGTCACACCGGAATGGCTGGGCGACCTCGAGCACGAGAACCCCGGGAGATTCGGCCTGTGGACCAGGTGCAGCTACGGCGGCAACGGTACGTTCTCACGACGCAGCTCTAGCGACCTCCCCTCCGCCAGGATGGGGCGTCCCTCGAGCTTTGTTTCTCCTTCGAATTACTCCGCTCGCTGCTGCGGAGAATCAGGTTTTATCGAATGAACGCGCGCGACATGTTAGAGTACGGCCGTCTGGCCGTACATTGAGTGCTGCCGATAAATTCGGCTCTCTTACTGCAAGTACGGCAAGTCAGCTCCAAGACTGTCCTGATTCTTCGAGCGCGTCGGAGACGACGAGGAACGATCGATCGAACAGACACCTCAGGGTGTCTCGTGTACTTTGTAATGACGCAGGTGAGCTAGGCGAGGAGTGCATCGGCCGATTGGACGACCTGTCGACGATCGCCAACGTTCCCTTCCGGGCCAGCACGATTCTCGTCGGCATCGCCGTCATAATCGCGCTCCTGGCGATCTGCGCGATGCTCATGTTCTTCTTCTGCCAGAGCACGACCGTGTTCTACATGTGCGCCTGGATGCAGGTTGTGTCAGGTATAACAATGGCGCCTCGTCCCGTCCCGCGGCGGCGGCGGCGGCGGCGGCGGGGAAAAACGCGGCGATTTCTAAATTCTCTCTCGCAGGCAGGAGAGCGAGGTCTCTCTACCGAGAGAGCGCCGAGCGGATCTCGCCGCGCGATTAAACGCCGAACACGCACGTGTTTAAATGCCGTTTTAGAAAGTGCACAGCCGCGAGAGAGCGAGCGAGCGAGAGCCCGGTGAGAAGCTAGCCGCCTTTTCGCCTTCCCATTGCTGCAATCCCGACCGTTAATGTCTTATCAGCGAGAGAGGGAGAGGGAGAGACGCAATTGCAAATTGCAGCGGCGAGCCGGCACCGGGCCGGAAAGTGACGCAATCTCGCTCGGCTTAACGCGCCTTTATTGCGGCGAACTCTATCGATCGGCCTCGTCGGACGCGGCCAACGATCGACGATTTCCCGCGCGTGACCAATCGTCGCTGGCAATCGTTCTCGCGATCGTCGGGAGAGACCGTTTCGCGAGAGGAGAGAAAGAAGAACGAGACGCGCATCGAACGAGCGCGCGCTCGTCGCGACGCCTCATCCTTCGCCTGAGCGCGAAGGAATCGCCGGCGATATTTTTGCTCGATTAGAAAGCGCACACCGCGACCGCAGAATCGATACCTTGCGCAATGTCTGAGGTAATAATAATAATAACGTGGCATCGCGGGAACGCGACCCGCGCGCCTCGTCGATGCCCCGGCGACGTCCACGTCGGCGGAACCGTTGCGCCGCCGCGATTCTCTTGGACGTGTGCACAATCTTTCGCGATTACCTTCTTTTATTCTCTCTCTCTCTCTCTCTCTCCTCTCTCTCTCTCTCTCTCTCTCTGTCTAAGTACCGCCGTCGGATGCGCGCACACGTGCGACGCCGTACGCTTGAGTTCCGCAGAGAGCGAGAAAAGCGAGTAAAATACGCGAACTTCGCTCGGTTTGCTCGGCAACTTTCAACGACAGCTTCGCAGCGCGACGTTACTAATCCTAAACTAGATTACAGACGCGAATAATGAAGAGAAAAATTAAATATTGCACATACGACGACAACGCACGAGACTTGATCGTGCGAGAGGAAGCTTCGGAAATAGACATGCAGGACACTTTCAGCAGGAAAGGATATCCCGACAACCTTCTTCGTGGATCGTCCTTCGACCGGAATTTTACAAGCGCGAGCGCAGAGCGCCGATTGCCGATTCCGGGATCGTCAACGCACCGATACTTTCTCCAGATAACCCGCATTATGCGCACGCGCGAGCGCGAATGCAACTTTTAGCATTTCCACGCGATCTCACCGGCGGCGCGGGCGGCGGGAACGCTTCGTTGCGAAACTCAGCATGCCGCGCGATGATGATATGACGTGTGGTGCTATGCATGTAAGAACGTGTCGCGCGAGATCTCGCACACGCGACGTCGACATTCTTCTTTTGCAATTGTAATCCGGCGTTATCGCCGCCGTCCGTCCGTCCGTCCGTCCGTCCGTCCGTCCGTCCGACGACGACGACGACGACGACGAGTCGCTCGGCAGCGAAATGTAGAATAGACCGTTATAATGCCCAAGCCAGTCCGCTTAATATACCGTTCGTCAACGCCTCTCTATGATTAACACACCGGCCGGCCGCGCTCGCGCGCCGTCTGGAACGACTTTATCGGGAATTTAACACCGCCGCGAGCGCGCGTCTCGCCAACGCCGCGCGCTCGACATCGCAATGCGAGCTCGTACGCGCGTACGCGAAATGCATCCAAGTAAATCCGATAACCCGCTCAATTAATGCCGACACAGTTAGATCGGTTCGCTCGCTGATAAGATGCGTATGTTATGTGTGTGTGTGTAGTACGTGATTCATGGCGACGTACGCGGAGCGCCTCGTGCATCACGCGCGCTTTCGCCCGCGTTTGACGCGCTGTTTCATATGGAACAGTCGAGCGGAAGTGTCTTCCGACTTGGAAAGAAATAGAGTAAGCTCGTCGTCGCGCGCGCTGATTGCCGAATATGACGTGGTAGATCGTGGCGCGCGTTGCGAGATGACGATTGCCGAGCTCGTTTCAGCCACGGCTTGCATAAGCTTAATTACACGCGTAGCAACCCGCGGAGTCTCGGCTCGTTGTCGGCGATTCCTCGTGGGCCAGAATTACGCGCGGATGGACGGATGGATGGACGGACGGACGGACGGACGGACGGACGGATGGACGAGCGAACGGCTCGAGCCGCGACAGTGAAAGTTCCACGGACGGGATCGCGCTTGATGCACGGCGCGAAGCGTGAAGAGAATGAAATTGAGACAGATAGGCGAACTGAGAGAGGCGCGGGGGGGGGGTGGGGGAAGAGAGAAAGAGGAATGACACGTTTCACCGCGCGTAAAATAAAAATGATCCGAGTTCCGCTCGTTGAGGAGCGAGCAGCGCGTGTTTCGACGCAGCCGCGCGCGCTCACGGGCGCGATTCGTGCGTTGAAATCATTCCTCTCGGGAAACAATACGCCTCGCCGCGTTGGCAAGCCGTGGAAAACGGCCGCAGAAAAGTTACGGTTGTGTGTCCCGAGTCCCCCTTTCACTGGCGGCCTCGCGTGTGGCCTCTCCTGGCGCACACAACATCCTTGTGCGCGCCGCCCGCGTTATCCACCACGCCACGGGGCGTGGATGCAAATGGTGGAGGCATAAGGAAGCCGGTACGACGTACTTATTAAGATATCCGGTGCCTGGCGGTCGCTGGCGATAATTCATCGAGAGAGATTGCCTCGCTCGCGATGTCTGTCCGTCGTGAAATTCTCCTCTCGCGAGGATTACGTCCGCAAGCGTAATCACTTCGCGAGAGATCGAGAAAAAGGATTCTGCGCGAATCGCTGCACGATCGCGGTCTCTCTCTCTCTCTCTCTCTCTCTCTTCTCTTTCTCTCTCCCACTCTCCTTGTCGCTTCGACGACGACGACCACACGTCGTACCTGTAACTAAATATGTCCGTCTTACATAAGGAGAATGACATTCCGATTTTGTTCCCAGGAATCTGCATGGCGGTCGGAGTGTTCGTTTACCCGCTCGGCTGGGACTCGCCGGTGATTCGCGCCGTCTGCGGCGCGGCCGCGTCCAGGTACGTGCTTCTTCTCATCTTCTTTTTGCAACGTACACATCGCGGAGCTGACCAAGACAGATGTACGCCGTTGCCGTTGTTTAAATTTACGTTTGCGCAAACTACAGTCTGAGGAACGCGAGTCGCAATGTCCGCGGTTCTCTAAAGCCGGGAAATGACGTGCCGCGAAGCCAGCCAGGGTAATCTCGATCTTCCGAAGACGAAGTCTCGAAGTCGACCTCTCCCCGGCGCAGCGAGGATGTGCGAGAAAGCGAGACAACTCGCGGGGAAATTCCGTCTCGAATCTGTCCCTTCGGGCTTCGACTCACGGGTGTCCTTTTTATTCGCCGTCGCATTACGACGACAAACTTTCCCCGGAGGAAACACCGACTGTACATTCACCGAGCGGCGCGCGCTAGGCCGGAGATTTCCGCCTTCCTGTGCTGAGCCATCGATTACCGTACGGACGGCATATCTCGGCCGTTCTCTGTATACGCTCTCGTTGCCGCCGCGTCTATTTTTCTCGCTCTTTTCTCGCTCGCCGGACGCCGCCGCCGTTCGCACGGCGAATTATCGGCGCGGCGCGATAACTAACAGTAAAATCGCAATCGCTCGATTTCCATCGCGACGGGGAACGTGAGAAGTGCGGCAATTAAGAGGCCACTCTTCCGGCAGGTACAATCCCGGCGCCTGTGCCGTGAGATGGGCGATACCGCTGGCAGCGATCGCGGCTCTGGACGCCGGTACCTTGGCCGCCCTTGCCTTCATCCTGGCCTCCAGACACGTAAGACTCCAGCCGGAGCCGTTCAACAATGGATCCCTGTACAAAGGTAATTTCATTCAATCAGCGAAACGGTGGCGGCCCGCGGATTCCCGCGGGATGTCGTCGTCCTGACTCTCTTTTGTCTCAAAGAAGTTAGACATACATTTGGTTTGATCTCCTTCCGCGGCTTTGTGCCGCGTCCATCTTGGATTCGACAGACATCCTAAGGCTAATAAGAGCCAAAACGCAGATATAAAAGTGTAAATAATACTAACATATCCCCTATTGGGTACGAGGTTTTGAAATGGTTCGCTCATCGATCTTGACGGCATGTCGGCTTTCGGTTTTATTTGAAAATAACTATATTTGCTGAAGATGGTCCAAACTTAAGACCGAAACGTTCAAGATTTTTGTATTTCTGCATGTTGGTTATATTATTTACGCGTTTATATCTGCGTTTTGGCTCTTATTAGCCCGATGTATATTGTTCTAACTTATTGTTAGATCTCAGAGCCTGAATTTATTTATCCTGGATTCGTTTCCGAGGTCAGGAACATTTGAGCGATGATCTTCTCTCTGGAGAAGTGAATTGAGATGACGTTGGAGACGAATTCACGGTGGACTCGAGTCAAAGATGGACAAAATAAAGTCAAATGTTTCTCTACGGCGCGAAAGAGCCGCGAAATATTAAACGATACATACAATGACGAAGGTCGCGTCGTTCCAGGCGAGGTGAATCCGGGCTACGTGAACGAGGCGCAGAGCGTAGCGGGTTCTCGCAAGTCCCTGTCGCTGAGGCCGGTCCTCCTGGTGGCACCGCCAGAGCAGGACCGCTATAGCGAGCTCTCCCGGGCGAAGTCGCACTCGCACCACAGCCTCTACACACCGGCGCCGTCGCACCCTGTGCACACCATGTCGACGAATACCCTCAACCACTCGCAGCACAACTTCCAGCTCTGAGACTGAGCGGCCGAGGTGTCGCGGCGCGGAGACCGAGCAGGGCACTGCTGTACATAGCCGTGTACATAAAGGAGAAACGGCGAAAAGGGAGAAAAGGGGGACGAAGAGGGAGGACTTTGGCGACGCAGTCGCTGCGCCGTGATCGAGTGCGGTCGCGACTTGAGTCGCGACACAATCGTGATGTCGGGTCGTGAGAGAAACACGACGATGCGAATCGCCCGTCGGCGGTCGACGAGCGCGTTATTTCGTTTGTGCCGTGAATACCGCTAGCCTAGCCGTATCCGTCGCTTCGACATGTCTCGCCGACGAGATGCGAGACGAGAGTCGTCTTCCTTAGACTAACGACTAATCTAAAGATACCTTGAGAGCATGCGCGATTATCGTTGTAACTGACGTGAGCGTATTGCGTATCGTGTAATCGTGTACCGTCGCTCGTCGACTTGTGGAAAACTTATGATTTTCTCTCTTTTTTTCTTCTTCATATTACATACAAAGGAACGAGATATTTTTCTACCTAAGTTTCCCCCTTGGAGATCCGTTCGAAGAATATATACATATCTCTCTCATACTTGTATTTATATATTAATATATGTTTATGTTATATGTACATGTAATTTTACATTACTTAAGCGACTTCGTGACGCTCTGGAGAAGAATTGTGTATTATATAGGCCCTCTAAGAAACGCGTAGCGCGCTACCCACTAGACAAACGACCATTTTCTTGCGTTGGAATTACCCTAGCAATTTTATAAACGCTACGATCCGTGCCGTATTATCGGAGCAGTGTGTCAATCACGTTGTACAATTATATAAGATCCTAATAAGATCATCGACGTGCCTTTACGATGTAATGTACTGAGAATAATATTTTTGAATTAAACCTTTTTGCCACGAGGACACGCTGTTTTGCGAGATTGTCACTCGGCCAATTGATACGAGTGAGACTTATTCAGGAAGATCCTGCCTCTTCTTCGAATAATCGTAAAAAGTTCGATCGTAAAAGTCGTCAAATCGTTACGATCACATCGGCGCGCGTCGACGCGAAGCATGAAATTCTGCGCTGAGAACGCGTAAAGATGTGTAATGTAAACACGATACATGTATCATTTTGACTAGTGTATTTTAATGATATATCGTACAGGACAAGTTGATTACGAGTACTATTTAGTCGATAGATCGCGTGATACTCGCGAACGACGGTCTCTTAGGTCTGCAAAGGCAATATTCAACGTGACGGCGGATCGTCCGTGACGATCCTTCAGTCGCTGTTTAATCCCGCCCTTGTCCTTCTTTCTTTCTTTCTTCACTTTATATCCTATTAATTCTATTTCTAAAGAGCAAGTGTACGGTGGGAGATGAAGGATTGTTTTCTATTTCTGCCTGCTTTCTTCTTCAAGTCGTTTGGAGATTCACGAGACTGTTCGCAAATATTGTTGTACAAGACTATCTTTCTAACTATCAGATCTCTATATGAGAAACAGAAAGAGAAAGAGAGAGAGAGAGAGAGAGAAAGAGAGCATTCTGCGCAATTCTTGAAAACCTTATCAACGCGTATCGAAGAATCGTCGTCGATACTCAACAAATGGCAAATACGCGAAGTCCTGCATCTCTTCGACAAAGATGAAATTGTATAAACGCACGTTTCTCTCTTCCCGCGAATAACACGACGCGCAGAATGCTCGCTCCAGCGCGCGCTTATTTTATGCGTAAAATACGCGCACGCGTGCTCTTCTCGCGGTATCTAAATCTAAAATAAATATTTCAGGCGAGAGAGAGAGAGAGAGAGAGAGAGAGAGAGAGAGAGAGAGAGAGAGAGAGAGAGAGAGAGAGAGAGAGAGAGAGAGAGGAGAGAGAGAGAGAGAGAGAGAGAGAGAGAGAGAGAGAGAGAGAGAGAGAGAGAGAGAATGCCTACGAGTAAACACAGTCTCTTCCTTGAGACGTGTCTCGCGTTCACCTTAAGATCTAGTAATCTCCTTATATGGCAAAAAGAAAGGGAAGTTGAATGCGGTGAATGGCTGCCGTTCGCAAGAGCAGCCGGCGCTGGCGCACAGGGTGCGCGCGAGCGAGCCTCCTCTCTGCGTCCTCCGCGCGTTTCCCTCGACGCAGCGAGGCTCCCCTGGACCACCAATTCCAGAGGAGGTTCTGCACGCGGAGGAGATCCCGCTTTTACGCGTGGGAACGAGCGTGAATCTCCGTCGCGCATCGACACGGTTCTCGCGCGGGATCGGAATTGCCACCTCCAGAAACCGCCGGGCGGGCGCGCGAGAGAGCAACGCGAGCAAATCGTTCGGCATTAAAGCACTAACGTTTTATAGTGCATTAATTAGCCCGCGATGAGAAACGAGATACAAAGGTTTACAACGTTGTAAATGCAAACGCGTGAGGGAGGCGGGAGGATGTGGGAAGGACAAGCCCTACCGGTCGCTCGTCGCCGTGTAACGTCGCTATTTAATTCCCTTTTTACGCGAGCGACGTATCGTCGTATTTTACAAGGTATACACACGGCGTGTCCGCGTATGACACCCTCGACCGAACCGTTTATGGCTTTACTGCACCGCCGCCTCGGCCGCCGCCGGCGCCGGCGCGGCTCACGAGTACGCTCCGCGCATCCGCGCGTGCTTTACAGCCGTTTGTTTATTAGGCTTTCGTTTAATTGCCCGATCTGCGCGGCGCATAACGGCACCGCGCGCGCCATTTTCACCGAGCTCTAAACGCGCGAATCACAATGGACGCGTAATCACCCGTGCATACGCGCTGCGTCGAGCGCGAGCGGGATTCGGAGGACGCGCCGCGCTCGTAGGATCCCGTCAAACGAACCGCCCGGAGAAATGTCCAACTGCTTGCCGGCTACTCGCGCTCGAGCGAGAGAGAAGCTGAACAGAATCTTCGAAATGTCGAAATGTTGACTTTCGTCAAGCGCGTGTCGCGCTTTTCGCTCCTGCCGCTTCCTCCGCCTCCCTCGTCGGTGATGCTTACGTGGGTGCAGAATTACGTCTCGATTGAGTGTTTGAGAGAAACGGGAGAGGGAGGGGAGATGTGCAAATGTCGAATTTTATTGCCCCCCGGTGTCAGCCGGAAAGCGCTGAATTTATGGCGTTATATTAAGGCGGCAATCATGCGCATGGCGCGCCGTCGTCGGAGCGGCGGAACCGGCGACGTTAATTGATGCTTCATCGCGCGGCGATTCGCCGAACCGCTTCATCCGTGATAAATCAGCGAAAGTAACGGGCAATTTTTCGCGGGCGGTTTTCCGAGCGTCTCCCCGCCGCTCGCGCACCGTGAAGACAAGCGAAGTCTCTCGGTGTTTCGAGACGACCGTGCGCTTCGATCGAGCGCGAATCGGCCGGGATTAGCGACGTGGAATGGAACAGAGAGAGAGAGAGAGAGAGAGAGAAAGAGAGTGTGCGTTTGTGTGTGTGTGTGTGTGTACGTGTGCGCGAAAATAATAATTTAATTATAAGTTAACTTACACAAAGGATTACGTGTACTTCACTACGTTACCATCGACAGTACATCTCGTCGATCCTACCGTTACCGTATATGGCTGACGTTTTTGTTCTTTCGTTTCGTAAAACGTTCGCTTGCTGCCCAGCGGAGCGGCAGAGATTACCCGCCTCGTTAGGCCTCGCCTCTTTCTTTATTTCTAACTTTCTTTATTTCTTTATTTCAAACTCCTACGCTTACTCGGTATTCTAAGTAGTTAAACACCTAGGATATTCGCTACTCTCACTGTATCCGCGATGGCTACTCGTCTGGATGCGAAGGAATGACCTTGGCGCGAGCGTAACGCAATCGTTCGCGAGTCTTTCTTCGCACCCTTAGCGTTAATACTACACACATACCTACAGCCCAGGACGTACGCTCATCACATCGTGCGCAATGTCCGTTCTTACCGATGTAAGCAGCAGGCGCCGATTGTTCGATGCTTCGGTGCGAATGCAACGCGAGCTTCGAGTCTGACGCTTGTCGCCGTCGTGAGACGGCCGACATTCCGACGCGACCGAGCTTAGATCTCCTTGCTGACGACTAGCCCACAGGGCTGCACCACTCCGACGTTGGGCAATCTCGGCCTTCTGGGCGTGGACCTGCTCTCATCCTTCTTCAGCAGCTCCTCTATCGAGTAGGGGTTCTTCTTCTTTTGCGGCTGCAACGGCTGATTCTCCACCACCGCCGCCGTCATCGTCGTCGTCGCCTCGTTTGCCGTCGTCGTCGCCGTCGTGCTCGAGGTCGTGTTGCTCTTCACCTCGAAAATCCTGTGCGACTGCGTCGGATCTTGCCGGCTCGCGTCGACGATAGACACCGGGCTCTCCCGCGCGTTGTCCAGGTTCACGGCCGAGTTGGGCGTGCCGTGCCTGACGAACGCGCTCCGGTCGCTGCCGATCTTCTGGCTGAGTTCCAGGATTATCGGTGTGTTCCGGAAGGACTTGTAATGCTCCTGCGACTCGATGTTCTCGTCCAGGTCGCTCTTGTCCAGCGAGTCGTCGCTACCGGCCGTTGAGCTCGAGCTCGACTTCAGCTCCAGCTGATTCTGCGCGCCGGTTTGCTCCGACAGACGCTCGGCGTCCAGCGGTCTGCGAACACAAATTCGCGGGGTCACTTCTTTCTTTTTCTCATGCGGAGAAGAACGATGGAACAAACGTAACGCGATGGACGAAATAAGCACGTTTCGGTTCGCTCGTTGTCACGTTGGTTCGACCGATCCTCTCCCCTCTTCTTCTCTCTTCGCTGTACACGCGTCTCGTTGAATTCACTCTGGTCTCTCTCTCTCTTTCTCTCTCTCTCTCTCGCTCTCGCTCTCGCTCGCTCGCTCGCTCGAGAAACGTTTTACTTACGCGAACGACTGCATCCCGTGATGCAAGTGCAGGGTCGTCGCCTGGTAGAGGGACGAGTAGAAGCTCTGGTTCCACGACGGCGTGCCGGTACTGCCGGTATTCGCGGCGGAGATGTGCAGCGGTCCCAGCGCGCCCGAGTAGAACAGCTGGTAGTCCGTTCTCATGAGCGCATCTGGAAAAGCGGAATCACACATCCGTTGACGCTATGGTGCCTGACCCATTTTCGAGAGGTGTTCGACGGAAGGAACTTCGTCGAAAATCAGCGTGTGGGAGGTCGCGTTAATAAAGAGATACTCGTCGGGGATACGCGTGCACTTATCTCTGTTCTTTTTGCGCGTAATTTTTCGCATCGGTGATAAGGAGAGAACAACGTCGTTAAGTATAATAGGAAGGCTTCAAGATGGCCGAAGGGGTGGGGGAGGGCCAGCCTCGATCGCGCGAGGCTATTGATCGCGGCGGCCAAGGGGAGCCTACGGTTCTTTTTTCGACGGCACAATTGGAAGAGGATCGCCGCCGCTCATCTTGAAGAAGCTGTCAAGGAACGTCAGTGCTCGTATTCTTCTCTCTTCTTTTCGTGCTGAATTTAATCGCCGTATAAATAGATCCGCTGCCATGCGTGTGGTGCACGCGTTATTTTTTATTCGCCGTAACAAGCGGAGACTCTCCCCGTCCCTGTGTGGTCAGCTCTAACGATATGTGGGCTTCTAACGCTAATTTCTCGTGATTGGGAGTACCGAGCGTGTTCTCGCGCGCCTCTCGCTCTCGTGGTTGTTTGTCGACGAGTAAGCCGACACGCGCGTGCGAGTATTCGATTTTTCATCCTTCTTGTCCGACGAGGAGTGTTCTCTCGTCTCGAGGATGTCTCTATCCTACGCGCCGTGTATCGCCGCGAAAACAAACCTACACGCGTAGGCGCCGACTGTCACTGCCGGGGAGGGAGAAGGGCAGGAGGAAAATGATGATTTGAAATAAAGATGAAGACGAACGCGCCGAGGAGGTCGCTCGTTTCGCAATTAGCTGCTCAAAGCCGGTAAATTGAGCAGCGTTTCAACGGCGGCATCCGACGTCACAAATTGCGAGGCAAATTTTCCGTTTCGGCGGCGGCGGTGGCGGCGGCGACGGCGACGGGGTTGCGTGTCTGTTGCCCTGGCGTGGCTTTCGCTGACGAGTCAATCATGGCAACGGGGTGTCTCGAAATCTGCCCTCTTCGTTCTCCCCGCGCTTCCCTTGCCACTCTTCTTCCCCCCCCCGCCAGCTTAACCCCCCATCCCCCTTGTCGTTCTTCTCTCGCTATTCTTCTTCTTCGGCGCTGGCTTTCGCATTTTTGGACATTTATCGTCTTTCTTCTGGAAATAACGCAAAAAGATCCCGCCCGCCGCCGCCGCCGCCGCTGCTGCAGAGGGCAATTCCACGCTAGGGACAGGTGTTTAGGGCATCATTAGTTTGTAATGGTGCACTCGCGAGGCAGCCACGACCGTCGTATATAATGGCCTCACGAAGCTCGGCAGCGAAAATATGCGCCCGCGTCGCTCGCCCGCTCGTTCGCGCGTTCTCCCGCTCGCAGTCTCAGCCGCGAGAGATTTCGAATTTGTCTCGTCTCGGCTTACAAGTAAACCTCGGGGAGGAACGCGTCAGACGCCGATTTGTTTCCAATTTTTTATAGTTATTTTTAATGTCAAAATATAAAAAAATCTGTTATCATTTTTAGCTTAAATTAATTTTTTCAATTTTTTCGAGATTTCTCAAGTTCTTTGTTCATTTCTTGTTTATTTTTCACCAGATTTTGACGTTAAAATGAGCTTGTTTGCTGGATAGTGAAGAGCCGAAAGATTATCCAACGTCGAATGTAGCGTAAGACTGAACACTTTTTCAACCATGACGTCAGCCATATTAGATCCGCCATTTTGAATTTTATAAAATGGTTCTGATTCATAATCGGCGACATGCGTGTGCAAGTTTCAACAAATCGGATACATATATTTCTTAAGAAACATTGTTTTAAATATGTATAAAATAGTGTACTTGTGTGCAAAAGTCGAAAAATTTCGAAAAAATAGAAAAAATTAATTTAAGCTAAAAACGATAACAGAGATTTCTTCGTACTTTGACATAAAAAATAACTATAAAAAATTGGAAACAAATCGGCGGCTGACGTTCCCCGAGGTTTACTTGTTAGAGCAGCCGATATCAGCGGGTGTTTTGTGTGTGTAAATTTATAATTAGTACGATGCCAGGCCCCATCAAAATGCACGATACAAAGTGTCGTCGCCGTTTGATTTTCTCTCCGTTCTCTTTCCCCCGCTTTCTCAGTCTTTCGATCTTCGAAAGCCTCAAAGCTTTCAGCTCACCTCTGGCGTTGGAGGGAATCTGCGACGCGTATCCGCCGGATGTGCCGCCCTCGATGGCCGGGAGATCGGTGTGCAGGCCACCGCCTCTCAAGATGCGATTGACCGACGACACGGACGGCAAGCTCTGCGGATCGCAAGCTCCCTGTCGCGCGAGCTGCTCGCGAATCTCCCAGGCGAACATCGTCGGCTGCTCCTGCTTCATCCGCAGGATCTTCTTCACCACCGTGGGCGTGGCTACTTGCTGAAACGACAGAAACATAAATTACGGTGACAACGTTACGAGAGAAAGAGAGAGAGAGACTGTCGTCGCGCGATCGCGCGAATCAAGTATTCGCGGAATTTGTCAGTCAACGCCGTCTCTCTCGTCGGCGTCTAATTCGTTCTCGCGAAGCTCCGAGAGGCTTCTCGTCGATTCGAGCAGCCGTGCTCGTGTCCGTCTCCCGTGAAGATGCCTATCGGTGTCGGGATGCCGTTGTTAATCGTCTCGCGCGCGCGCGCGAATCTTCTCGTCCTCTTTGCCTTCCTTCCATTCTGTTTTATGGCCAAACCGCCGCGTTATCTCACCGGCAAATTAACGCGAACGCTCGGCTGCACTGTCGTCGCACGCGCATATGTCGTTCACAGGTGAAGAGCTCGGGCTCGTCAATCAGATAGCGAGAGGGTCCGCTGGTAGGTGGGTGCTCGCGCGCTCGCGAGCGCGAAGGGTAAGCACCTCGCGCACCGTATTTTTTCGGTGTTAGCCCCTGTTCACCTGGGTTCACCGACGGTACCAACGGGTTGGTACCATTCGCCGGTGCCGTTGCCTGCCACGGGGCCCACCGGTTGTACCCCAAAAGGGGGCCCCAGTGGTGCTCAATCTGGACGGGGTCAATTTGACTTGCTAATGAACGGTAATGGCACGCGGATAATTTTATGCTAACGCGATGGAAATGTTATTCGGCCCGTACAGATTTCGAGATCGCCCATCTCTTTGAGGGGCGACGGCGCGGCGTGGCGCGGCGCGGCGGTGTGAGCGAGATGCACCAATCGCCGGCGAAAGGTGATCATCTTCCTCGCCTGGACTCGCGCAGGGGTCTGTGTTTTTCTCCCTTTCTCTATTCCTCTCTCTCTCTCTCTCTCTCTCTCGCTCTCTCTCTCTCTCTCTCCCTCTCTATCTCTCTCTCTCTCTCTCTCCCTCGCGTAGGTATGTATCGCCGAACGAACGAAACGGTATCACCGAACCTGTCGATTGCAACGAGATCCCATTTCAAGAGGCGTTCGCGTCCCTGGCGTTTTGCGCGCCGGTAATCTGCGGCCGGTCGCGTGGGCCCGATACGATCTCTCGGCAAATTGTTTGGCAGAGGAGCGGGATAAGTGTGGATGCCGAGGACAATGATCGATACGATTGGCGTGAAGGCGGGCGGTGAGAACGTCGAGATGAAAAGAGAGAGGAGAAGAGAGAGAGAGAGAGAGAGAGAGAAAGGTAGTCGAGACGCACAATAGTGTTAAAAAGAATTATGACTCTTGAATATAAAGCAGTCATAAATTTTTCGGCTGGGTCCGCGATGGGTTCCCTGAGAAAGTTACAGTCGGCTCCATGCCCGACAAAAATGTCTCTATTCCTCGACTATTGACGGTCCGCAATCTCGCGTCACCGTGTCACATCCAAGCTCTCTACCGATACTGAAAAGCATTTCTTCTTCTTCTTCTTCTTCTTCTTCCCGTCTTTTTCCCTGACTCCGGCACTCATCCGGCGGCAATACTCGTGGAGAAGGTTCGCGAGAGGCCGCGGGACGAGTACGACGTGCGAATCGTCGTTACCCGCGGTAATGTAATCTCGCAGGTGGAAGCACCACTGACGGGAACGCTTAAGGGCTGCGCCTCGGGGGCAGCCAGAACCGAGAGGGCCGCCTAATAGTTTGAGGGGGTTAGGACAAGCATCGCGTGCTCCCGTCGGGAGCATCTCAGATTCTAATCTGACACTTCCGTCGTCGTTGCCACAATTACCCCCGGCCCGACAATATATACGCGCGTCCTAATGCGGACCCTCGCGTCGCCGAGCACACATCGAATCGCGCGCGGGCACGCACGTGCACACGCGCGAACGCCCGCTCTGTGTGTGTGTGTGTGTGTGTATGACCGTCGGAGGAAATTGGCCAGGCAGGATGGACATCTGGCACTAAACGTTAGATAACCCGTATATACCGGGCTACGAACAGGTTGACCAACTCGGTAATTACCGCACACAAGTTGCGCGCCTCGCTACATGCACCCCGGGCGCTCCCTGAGTGCTCCTCGACGATAAGGACAACGACGACCGTCGACACCTTTCGCCCCATTTTTCCCATGCTTCGCGCGGGACGAGCACCGATGTCGTCGGTGTTGTCGGAGATGCGACGATCGAACGAGCGACGACTCGGGGGCTCGTCGGAACGTTCGAGCAGCGCGTACAAATTGCAGGGTGCACGCTAGTCGAGGAGGATCCTTTCCCGCTTTTCCCTCCGAACGGAGGGAGAAACGTCGCGGCTCGGAAATGTAATTTTCCGCGACTCGAGACACGGAAAACGCGCGCCGCCGTTCGTTTTCATTTGTCGCGGGCGTTTTAGTCAGCCGCTATTCATCATGCATCGCGGAGAATAAATGGGTGTCGGCGCGGGGACCGATCGCGAGGACGACTCGTAGAGTCGCCGCCGCCGCCTAGACCAACGGACGCGCGCGCGCGCGAGATCTTAATTGCCAGATAAACGGGGAAAAACGTCCGCGATCGTCGCGCCCGCGTGTTCGCGGGCGAATCGCCCGCGGAAATAAATGTTCGCTCGCGCCGCGCCGGAGCCGTGACAATATTTATCGCGTTTCACGCCCGGAATTCCCCTCTCCACACTTTCGAGAAACTCCTGCGCGCGAGATCGCGATCGCGAAGCCGAAGTAAACAGTACCAAGTGCCGGCCGATGCGTATTCCGCCGCCACCACGCGCGCCCGAGAGCGCGCGTTAATATTACCGGACTGTTATATATATTATATGGGAGAAAATACATTCCCACACACGCACACGCACACACACACGCACACACACACGCACGCACGCACGCACGCACGCACGCACGCACGCACGCACGCACGCACACACACACACACACACACACACACACACACACACACACACACACACGCTCGCTCGCTCGTTGACCAAGCGCGGCGGATCGCGCGATTTTTTTCTTGACGTTCCACTTTATTACCGCGGCTCTTCGACGGCCCGTGCATTTTTCATGAAACAATTTTCTCTGTCGTGCCGCCGGCCCATTACCCGACGCGTATCGCATTGACGCGCACGCGTATGTCAAGAGGAGAAAGAGAGAGAGAGAGAGAGAGAGAGAGAGAGAGAGAGAGAGAGAGAAACAACGGAGAAAGTACGTGGACATGCCTCGAAAATGTTACGTATCGTAGCCGCGTACACGTGTAGATTCGCCGATAATTCGTCGATTAATTCGCGAAATCGCACGTTAAATTGCGCACGACGCGTCCTCGGCAAGAGGAGATCGCGCCCGCGCTGTCCGTGGCAATCCCGACGAGCGAGCGCTTCCAAGATAAATTTCATTAAATACCGTTATCGCGCGCAAACCTCGCCGTAAATACGCGCGCCTCAGCCGCCGGGTAAAACGAAATACGGTTTACGCGAAAATCGAGACCAAGAGCGAGAGGGAGAGAGGTGGGGAGGAGGCATCTACGAGAACGAAGGGCGATATCGCGGGCGAGGGTGCGCCGGGAGAAAGAGAGCGCGGAAAGTCGTAATAACAGACTCAAAATGGAGGGCAACGTTATCTTGACAGGGCGCCGCTCATCTTTCGTTACTCAGCAGGAAAATCGGAACGTCTCTCTCTCTGATGGAAATCGACGTGATGGCAAGGATGGGAGGGGAGGCGAGGGGAGGGGGGCGGTTAAATGCCGGTGTCGGGAGGATTTCGACGTTGATACGCGCCGAGTTAATACTGCCGCGCAATCAAAAGAGTCGAAGGGGAGGAGGGCAGGGGTTTACCTAGTAGCCATTATTTAATTATCGGCGTAATTTTAAATCGCTGTAAAAGCCACTTACAGACGGACAGTGACGTGCTCCGGCTCGGCTCGGGGATGATATCTAACGATCTTCTTGCCGGAGAGATCCTTTGTTGCGGAGGACGGTGGGCGGGTTACTGCGCGGTGCGTACTGCGCGTTGCGCGTGCAAGGCGCGAAAGAAAGCGAGAGAGAGAGAGAGAGAGAGAGAGAGAGAAGGAGAGCGATCTTTTGTACGTACTCGCTTATCGAGAGATGCGAGAGGGAGAGAGAGAGAGAGAGAGAGAGAGAGAGAGAGAGAGAGACTCTTTCTCCTGCAACTTCTCGGCCAAATTACCAAAGGTTACCACCGTCGCTTTGTCACAAGTGAAAAAGTGAACAAAAGTCGGTCGGTTGATCGCGCGGAGAGGAGGCAGGATGAGAGACGTTACAAAAGACGGTAAAAAGAGCAGCGGGACCTGGCCGAATTAAGCGCGGCGACCATTATTTCGCCGCGAGACTATTTTGACATACGCAAAATAAAACCGAACGCTGTAATGGTGGATGATGACTATCGTTTACATGCGCGCGTAATCGGCCTCCCGTGCCACACAGCCGGAATTTAAATGCCCTCTTCAGGGTTCCTATACGGGAGAGCCGGACCGACTCGCTCTTTCTCCTCTCCCTCCCCCCCGCCTCCCTCTCTCTCTCTCTCTGCAGCCACGACGGAGAAGCGTTCTCGAACTCGCAACTCGCACAGAGAGGAAGGTCGACGGACGCCACGCGGCGACGCGGCGTTATTGAAATAAATTCATTAAGCCGAAACTCGCGCGGCAACGGCTGCGCCATCGTCTTCGACGCGGCGCGGCGCGGCGTGGAGCGGCGTGCAGCGTCGTAAGAAATTCCCGACGTACGCACCGTGGAATTATATTGTCATTAGCGGGACCGTGTAGGCGCGTGATACCAGCGATAGCAGCGCGCGATGCGCAGCACCCGAGGAGGCGAAACGACGTCCCCCGCATTCGCGAGGATTATCAGCGCGATAAACGCCGCCAACGCCGCCGTTAAGTATCGCGACGACGAAGACGTTGACGTTCGTTCGTGACTTTATCCGCGGCCCGATCAGCGAATAAACTGGAGAATCGCCGAAGCGTCCTGCTTTTCGTTGCCGCGCGCGACGTAATATCGATCGATTTGATGAATTTCCCGCAGCGCTGAGACGTCGTCCGGCGACGACGGCGACGGCGACGGCGACGGCGACGGCGACGGCGACGGCGACGGCGACGTGGCGTGCGAGCCCAGACGAGGCTAGGCTAAGCCGGTGGTGCCAGCGAGAAAAGCGTGCAAAGCCATGAAATTATGCAAATGCCGCGCCGTTGCAAGGTGTTTGGATAATTGCACGCACGGTCGAAACGCAGCCCTTACTTAAAATCACATCAGGAATGCTTGAGCGCGCGACTGCGCGCCACTCTCTCTCTCTCTCTCTCTCTCTTTTGCTTACCTACAGTCTCGTGCGCTCTCTGTCTTTTCCCTCATCAGAGGAAGATGTGCCGCTAATGCGCATATACGCTCGCACATACCAGCTCGTTTTCACGTGTTTTTGCGAAACTACCGACATCGAGTCTCTTCCGCGAGTCGTTCTATCACCGCGCTGTTACTGTGCATTTTACGCCAAAACTCTTCAGATTCATCTCTCTCTCTCTCTCGTGTACTAATCTCGACCGAGTCGTTGTCGCAACAGGAACATTGATAAAAATCAAATCGATCGACCCTGAATCAGAGCTGACTACGAGTCGACTACGATACGCCCTTGGATTTCCGTCCTTTCACCTCTCGAGCGATTTCTCATCGAGTGGCATCTTATCCACGACAATTCGCACGTCCAAAGATCCTACCTTCGTCTTGCTGCCGCCGATGCTGCCGGGCCGGATGCTTCCCGTCTCATAGAATCTCGTGAGTATCTTGGAGACGCAGCCGTGCGACACGAGTAGCTGCCGCGAAATGTCGCACGGCCTGACGCCGCCCAGGGCGAGGTGCACGATCCTCTGACGCACACAGTCTGGCAGAGGTCTGCCGTTCACGAACACGCCGCCTAATTGATTCACCCCGGCTTGTCCTGAAACAGAAGATCGTCGTTGCGTTAATGAGATGAGGCTGACGATCCGCGACTACGCAATAAAGGAAGCGAAGAACGGAATCGTCGAGCTCGACTCGAGATTTCGCGCCGGCCGCGGCTCGGTGAACGCCGTTTATCGGTTTTACACGAGAGGGCTAGAGAAAAAAGACGGAAATCCGCTAATAGCGCGCAATCGCGCGCGATCGTGATCGCGATCGCCCGGTCGCAAGGTCGACGGCAGGTGCAGCGGCCAGGTCGGTCTCCTCCGTCGCTCTCCGCCGCTAATGACATCGCTACGACGAATATCACCGCGGGAGGACCCAGAGGGACAGGGAGATCTGTCATTATTGGCCGGTAAATACCGGGCGGCCGAAGCGAGGCGAAATACCCGCGCACACGTGCGCACGCGTACGTGTGCGTGTACGGTTTGTCGCGCACTCCTCGAGGCGAGGCTCATGCGCAATTAGCGCGCGCCTTGCGCGCCCTGCCGGGCCGCTCGCCTGCGCTTTTACGCGACGAAGAGATTATGCCAATATTAATGAGTTCGTCTGCGCGCACCGGAGACTGTTACGTCGACATTCACGGACACGCCTTTCTGGACGCGTGTTTCTCCGCAGATCGCGGAAGAATCTCGAGCAGATTTCTTCCGGCGCGGCAGTCGTTACTCGCATCTCGCGCGGTCATTTCTCTCTTCTGTCTCCTTTTCCCTCTTATCCTCTTTTCTTCCGTCGAGACGTCCGAGGAGTCGCCCCGAGCTCGCTCGAGTCCTCAAACGCGCCACCGTTTAGTGGCGTTTGACTGTCCGTGAGCAACTGTCCGCTTAATAAAATCCGACGTCCTCGAAATATAGTACATTAAGTCGCGGTCTCAGGGCCGGCAGGAATTAGCATAATGTATCCGTGACGGGAAGAGCCGGGATTGAGTTTAGATCCGTCAGCGACGTATGTAAAAGTAATTAAAGGCGAGCTTCAGGATATCGTATTCTCAAACAGAGAAAGAGAGAGAGAGAGAGAGAGAGAGAGAGAGAGTTTTAAATATTTTCCTTCTTCTCGCCCCATCCTCGCCGCGTTCACGTCCGTAAACCGTTTAATCGAGCAATTTGTATCCACGAGAGAGAGAGAGAGAGAGAGAGAGAGAGAGAGAGAGAGAGAGAGAGAGAGAGAGAGAGAGAGAGAGAGAGAGAGCGCACAATGTAGACTTAAATCACGTAACGCGACGTGTCATTTGTGCCGTTATACGGACGATCATGTCCGCGCATGCGACATCGGACGACACGTCGTATAACGCGTCGTACGCGCGACGTTTCCCCGTCAAAGATTTTATAAAATCGATTATTCCGCCGGTGGTATCGCGTATAAGCGACCTCCCCTCCTCCTACCTCTGCCCCCGGGCTCGTCGCGCCGCGAATATAAAAACGCCAATTGATCACGAATTTTATGTTCCGCCGTCGAAAAGGAATCGCTTAAACGATTCCGCGCGGCCGATGCACATTAAGGCCCGAATAAAATCTGAGTTATACGACAGTGTCTGTTTGTCTCCTGACCAGCACCAAAGTCGTACTCGCCTGGAAGAGAGACCGCCGCGGAGAAGGAGGGGTGGCAGTGATGACGGTGATGATGGTGATGGTGGAAAGCCAGAAAAGGTCGCGGAACAGATAATTCGGTTCGTCCGCGTTTCGTCGTCGTCGTCGTCGTCGTCGCCGTCAACGAGAATGAAATCCCGCGTCATAAATCCACGGCTTACTCATCGCGAGCGATTCTTAATTTCCAAATCGTCGCGGTAGTCTGGGCTGACTAGTTAATAGCATAATTACGTTACGCGCTTTGGAATTTCATGGAGATTTCGGCCGATTAGCATTCGACCGCGAGTTCACCCGTGAGAGACTACGCGCTCCGGCCGCTTTCAACAGCGTGAAATTACAATCCGGAGAGAGAGAGAGAGAGAGGTGTATCTTAATCTCGACGTGCCGTTACGACGGGAGGAACAAATGAACGAACTCACGTCCGTGATCTCGGTCCGCGCCAACCCTTTAAACATCACAATTAAATCTCGCTCATATGTCTATCATGATGCGTGTGGCAAGAAAAGGTTCTTTTGCAGTCGCGCCGCTGTTGGTTTAACGCGATCGTCATGACGAAGGAAAGAAAGAAGGAGAGAAGGAAGGAAGGAAGGAAGGAAGGAAGGAAGGAAGGAAGGAAGGAAGGAAGGAAGGAAGGAAGGAAGGAAGGAAGGAAGGAAGGAAGGAAGGAAGGAAGGAAGGAAGGAAAGAAAGAAGGAGCTGAGAGCGTCTCGAAGCGTCTCAAAGAAAAACAAAAATTAATCGTATTTGAACCGTGTGTAAGTTTAATGAATAATAACGTGGCGCTTTATACGAGCGGGAGGGATAATCTCGATCTGATTCCCGGCGATTATTTTCGGCGCAAACGGAGCCGAAAGGCGGCGTTACTAACAACGGATCTCCCTCTTTTTCTCTTTCTTTCTCTCTCCTTCTCTCTTTGGCCGCTCTCTCCCTCTCTCTCTCTCTCCGTTGGGAAGGAACACAAAAGGACCGAGAGGACCAGAGCCGTAAATGCCATGGGGCTCTTATATAAATCGAGCCACGCGCCTTCACGTAGACATCCGGATGCACCGGACTGCGTCGACCAAGACGATCGCTAATTATTATCTGCGCCGACTAATTATGTCATTACGCTCGATCACTAACGCCGCCGCCGTCGACGACGACGACGACGACGACGACGACGACGGCTCTCCGGGCTCGCAGACTCGCAAATAACGATCCCGGGGACCAAAGAAAAGGTTTTCGTCAATCTTTCCTGCCGCGCCATTACGGCCCGATTCCGCGAATCCGCGCTTTATTTGGCGTATTACGGGGCTAATTGACCGACCGGACGATCGCGATTACTCTCCGTGATTCTTGTCCTCTTTGCCTCTCCGCACCTCCCTCGTTGGAGCTTCCACACTTCGAGCCGGGAACGCTGCCGAGCGGCCGATTATTTCCGCGATGTCGATTTTTACACGTTCCCGGCGATGTGGTAATTCCGCACTTTATATAGACACTTTTACAGCCGACGGATAAAAGTCCGCGATCATCTTCCAATTAGAGCGCTCGTCAGCGCCGTTTATTCGCGCGAAGGGGGTGCGAATCCGCGGGCGAGCGCGCGCGCATGCGAGAGAGAAAGAGAGAGAGAGAGGAGAGAGGAGAGAGAGAGAGAGAGAGAGTCATTAGCCGTCGAGCGAAATTGCGAAATGCTCTTCTCCAATTTCACGTGCTCTTCCGCGCTCACCTTTCGCAATGGCCACGTACGCGGCTGGAGATTGCTCGTAATGACCGTCAGTCGAAGGCGTGACGGATTGCCTTTATTGGATAATTCAAGGGTCCACCGATCGCGCGACGCGGAGACAACGCGGCGAGAAACTCGTTTTCGGCCGAGAAATTACTTCCGTGGGATGCGAGCGGTGCGCGTCTCGCGTGCTCGCTCGCATGTACGATATTCATTAACGACCGGCATAACGGTCGCTATAAACCGGAAATAAAGATCGAATCGGACTCTCGTCGCCTCCACCGTCGCTCGTCGGACAGTTGGCGACGATTAACCCCTTTCGATGCGAAGCAGACGTGGGGCTTTGCGCCACCACGGCCTTACGCTGAGAAGACTATTCTCATGCGATTAATTGATCGCGCGCGTCCCCCTCCCCTCCCCTCCCCTCCGCCACCCTTAATGTCCTCGTACTCGTCTCTCCGACAGGCCGCGATGTTACGCGCCGTGAGAATTACACACGCTCCGGGGACGGACGCGGACGCTCCGCTCCGTCCGCGACCAGCCGCGGCCCGCCAAATTATTATTACGGCAAAAACTGGCCGAAATGGTGTCTTTATCTAAGTGCAAATCTGCCGACGGATCTCACGAAATAATGGAGCCTCGCGTTAACGGTGCACCCCTCTGGCCGCGGCCCGTCGTAAGTACCGGCGCGGCGGTTGACTCGCGGGACAAAAAGCGCGCGCGCGCGCACCGTGGCGACCGAGGTGCCGGAAATGCGGACGAGCCGTAGAAACGCGACGGACCAGCGGAATCGGCTTGGGATTGTGATTGGTGCGAGAATGTGCGCTGCGACGCAGACACGAGTAACCGCTGTCGGTGGTGAGTAACGGGGCATGGGGCGTTAAAGTCGCCGTCGCGACTTGAAAGCGCGTTCCCGACGGAATGCGGACGGCCAAATAGATACGTGTATCTTCGGGAAGCTCAAACCTGCTCGTGATCGCCGTGATATTTCAAGGCGTCGCATATGCTTTCGGTCTGCGTTTATATAATATATATATATATGTCTATAATAATGCCGCAAGCGGATGTATCTTCTCGTCATCGGCGGGATGGCCGGCGCGCCGATGAATTCGCCGCGCCGGTGAAATCATCGGCTCCGCGGCCCGCCGGAATGAGAGCCGAAAAGATTTCATTAGCCCAAGCCGGAACTTGTACATAATTTCGCAGATAAGTCGCGGCCGCCTCTCCGTAGAAAGGTCTCCAGGCTTTTTTCTCTCCGAATTTATGCGTTTTCACCTTGACTTCTGACCCGTCACCGATCGCCGAACACGCGCAGTCGGCTCATTAAGGCACCTTGGCATAATGCCGAAGAAGTGAAACAGCGCGCGTAAAATTTCTCATCGTCTCTCGTCTCATCGATCGCCGATCTCGGCCGTCAGGCCGCCTCGCAGGACAGACGCCATGATTTCGTGCGCCAATTATTTCGCTTCTCGGGTGAATCCCCCGAACAATGCTCACTTGCACTATCATTATTAGCGCATCGTAGCGACTACGAGAGAGAGAGAGAGAGAGCGGCTTATTTATTTATGCGCGACGATCCTCTCTCTCTCTTTCGTGTTAGCGCAAGGTGCGCTCCTCTTGTATTACTTCCCGACGGAACGCAAACTGTGTCAAACTCCGAGCGGAGTCCCTTCGAGACCCTTTCGCGAGCGTATAAAGAAGGGGATATCCTTCGAGACACAATGCTGGTTAGCTTAGAATTAGCCCGGCTAATGCCGGCCAACAACGATCGCTATCGCGCTGGCCATTTAGGCCCTAACCAAACTCTACACCTGCCTACCTGTAATCACGATCCGCGTCCATGCTAACAGATTCTTTTCTCTCTCTTTTTTCTCTCTCATTCTCCTCCTCCGTTTCTCTCTCTCTCTCTCTCTCTCCCTCCTTTGCGGCCGAGAATACACCCGAGTATCGGGGCATCATCGCATCGTGCAAGTCGAATCAATGCCGAATAGCGTGTCGCTCGCGGATCGCTCTCGTCCAGCTATCAGCTCCGACATCTGTCTTAAAAGGACACACACACGCGACGAGGCCGGCCCCTCCAAATGGGAGTGTATTAAGATGGTTAACTACGGCGGCTGTTATTAACTGTTTATCGCTTCGACGATTATTCCTGCGACTCTCTCGAGCGCGGTGATAATTGGGAGCTAACATATGTAACATGAACTTTGTCGATGATCACACGAGGCAACATTGAATTTGCGAGGTGCGCTTCGGGGCGCTGACGATAGTCATCTGCTCAGGGGGATACAATCTCCTTCTCGTCGCTCGTGCTGCCGTTAATAGTACGTCGCTCCTGCGAGATACTCGACATTACCTCGCTCTAACGACTCGTTAACGAAGAAAGCCCCCGATCACGGAGAGATTCTCACGTCGCCGGGAATATTTTCACCGGCGGCGACTCGGCCTGTGTGCGACCAATTCACATCGGCGGACGCAAGTGTAAACGTTTACGATCGCCCAGCAACCGGTTGACCCGCGAGCGCCGGCCGCTCCACGTGTGGAGCTGAGAGACCTCGGTATACTTTCGCCGATTTCGAAAATCACCCGCGAGACCCGACGCTGCAGTCGGAAGAAGGAAAGATCGCTCGAGACGAAAGCGGCATTTTTTCACACGAGCATTAGGCCAACGCGAACAGCGAGGCAGAGGGAGGCGACGAGAGTGTGTGTGAGAGAGAGAGAGAGGGAGAGGGAGAGGGTAGGAGACCATGTTGGAGGGGGAGCCAGGAGATTGTAATTAAACTCGTTTAATAACAGGCCCATAGATCTCGGCGTTCGATCCACGGTATAAAATTCTTCGTTAATTACTGTCAAACTACCTTCCAAATCGTAATTTAGTCTCCAGTGCGCCTCGAGCGAGTCTCGAGGTGGACGGATAAGAGCGAAAGAGAGGAAGAGAGAGAGAGAGAGAGAGAGGAAGAGAGAGAGAGAGAGAGAGAGAGAGAGAGAGAGAGAGAGAGAGAGAGAGAGAGAGAGAGAGAGAGAGAGAGAGAGAGAGAGAGAGAGAGAGAGAGAGAGAGAGAGAGAGAGAGAGAGAGAGAGAGAGAGAGAGAGAGAGAGAGAGAGAGAGAGAGAGAGAGAGAGGAGAGAGAGAGAGAGAGAGAGAGAGAGAGAGAGAGAGAGAGAGAGAGAGAGAGAGAGAGAGAGAGAGCGCGCGCGCGCGCGCACCGTGAGAGTGAGAGAAGGAAGAAGGGAGAAATTTTAATTTTTACTGCCGATTGCGCGAAAGAGTCGTCCTGTGATCTCGCCGACGGTAGCTGACCCCGTAGCGCTCGAACGTCCCAAGGAAACCATAACGACGTGTTACATTCCCCCCTTGCATAAATCAGGAAGCGACCGGGCGAAGCTATAATTCTCACAGGCGAATCGCGAGATTGGCTATTTAGCAAACTGGCCGTCGCTCGCCACGGCCACGACGTCGTCGGCGCGATGTCTCTCGCGCGGAAAAATTAGCATACGTTACACGTACGTGTACGACGCCGCGTCGGGACAAGACGGGAGGGACAGGAGGGAGAAGGAGAGGATGGGAAGATTGCGTAGCCGGCTCTTTTCCAGAAGCTTCAATCGGTTTGAATAAAAAAAAAAAAAAAAAAAAAAAAAGAGAAGAGAAAAGAGAATCTACTCACCGGTGTGCGGCATGATGACGGGCAATCGGCTACTCCGTGTGTATCTGAAACAGAAGAAAAATACACGTTTTTTGTTAGGGATGCAAAAGACGAGCGCATTGGAAACTACAAAGTGCAAAGCATAAGCGCTTCTCGTGCCGTGGATCCCGCGGAGCTGACATATGTATCGCGCATGTACCAACCCACACACACACACACACACACACACGCGCGCGCGCACGCCATGTGTTCGTGCGTGTTTTCGCCATGCGACGTATTATAGAGCGCGGGAGTATAGCCTTCGCCGTTAATGAATTTAAATGTATTCAAAGGGCGCGCTTGACGCTTGACATGGCAACCCTTAAATATGCAACTGTACCGATAAGCCAAAGCGCGGCAAAATATTGCCGGTAGCCAACCGTGACTCTCATTCCCGAACGAATCGACCCCCGAGATCGCCGCCCGAGCGACCGCCGTACGGCCACGACGACTTCATTTTTCAGCCCTCCACATGTCGTTGCGATCGCGTTAATTATCTCGCCGGTGACTTACACGTCCCGCTTCGAACGCCGCTCGCTCTCCGCGCAACGTCTCACGCCATATCGCACCCCCGTTTTCTTTCCTCGATCGCTCGATCGATCTTCTTCCTCGGTGTCTTCCTGCCGCCATCCACCTGGTGCGCATTCCCGTCCGGCGCGGCGAGGAAATCGACAGAAATGGCGATTTGAGAACTCGCGTCGGTCACGAGGCGAGCGAGACGGAGAGCGAAGGAGAGCGGAAAACTACGTGGAATGCGTGCGTAGCGTGGCGGGTGGCGTGTACTTTGTGATGCAAATTAATGCACGATTACCAAAGCACCCCTTGCCCGCCCTTGTGCGACCACCGAGACTCCTTACTTCGTCGTTACCCTTACTTCTCGCCGCGCTCGAGTGCGCGCGCGCGCGCGTGTGTGCGTGTGTGTGTGTGTGTATGCTCAAGCACTTACAGCGCCAACACACCGCACGGCGACGTGTTCCGACGTATACGTGTAATAAGTGCGATCCGCCTTCACCCCTTGCGATTCGAGATGCCTACCCCCGCATTAGGCCTGGTTACACGCTCGCCCCCGCGAGCTCTAATCTGATGTAACTATTACATACGTTACGCGGTATCCATACTCGAAATGGCGGCTCGCTGCGCGGAGCGATGAAAACTCATTTCTCCCGCGACTCTAATCGTCCGTGCGCTCGTGTCCTCGCGGGACTAGTTTCTGGCCGCGACTGCTTATTTAAATGGCCTCGCGATCGAGAGCGCTATTATTCTTTCCAACGTCCAGCTAACGGTCAAACAGTTGCCAGCCATTCCGGTCTGCCGGCCGCTCTCGGTACGCTTTTTTCCATATCGGCGTCTGTTTTGCTGTTTCTTGCTGCGATCCGAGGCACCGAGGCTGCGAATCGGCTAAGAGAGCTCTCACGTCCACGACGAGTCCATAAAGACCCGCAGCAGCGCGCGGACCCGGAGACCCGCGCAGAATGACTCGCGTCTCCGCGAGTAGTTCGGGCGAAAAAAGCAGACTGCACGTGCACGTCGTTCTCTCCAAGGGTGGATACCAAGTCCCGCCGCGGGGCAGGATCTCAAGGTGTTAAATTGTGCTCGTTACAGGCAGAGGCGGCCCAGGATCGTCGTTCGATCGCGACGACGAAGAATGCGCGAGCTTTTTCTTACGAAGCGGTATCACTTTTGGCCCGACTTTGGCGCTCGGCGCTGGCAGTTTCATCGGCTCGCCTCGCCTCGCCTCGGGATGAAGCCTCCCGTAATGAGGATTGAGCGATTATTATAAATCAAACGAACCCGGCCACGGCGAGCGAGCGCCGCCGCGTTTCTCGCGTGCCACGTGTTTTGCCGATGTTACTCTCGCGAACACGTGTCCTGCTCTCTTCGCTCTCCTGCCTCGCCCCGTCGCTCGGCGAACGCGCGCGCGCGCCTTGCACTCGTGTCCTCGACACTCGCTCCCCGATACCTTACCCCCCCGTCTATTACAACGTCGTGCGCGGTACATAGAATTACAAAAGCGAAGCTTTCTGCGGAATATTATTCCCCTGCTTGATCGCGCAAGCGTTTTTACTCGATGACGGGAAATTCTCCACGGCGGCGGGCAAGTCTTTCGAACGCGGCGACAACTCGCGCCGAAGAGACAGAAGAGACGGGGGTGAATTAGCGGAAGAACGATGCGACAACGGCGAAACGTCGATCGGTCGTTTTTTCGTCATCGATTCGCGGACTCGCGTTCGTCGTCGCACGGGGCTCGCGTTTCCCGCTGACGAAGAGCACGGCTTCTCGGATCGATTTGAGAACCGCCGCGCTGCGCCGCGTCGCGCCGCGTCGCGCCGCGGTAAATCGCCAGTAAGGTCACGCTTTTACGTGTAAGCCCTAAGCGAAATCTAGTTTTTGTTTATTCATTAGGCTACCCCGCGCTTTAAGTGGTACGTGGCGAGAAGGCCTCGCCGCAGCGAGACCGAGGGGGACGTCGAACGCGGGGCGGGGGCCCGCGGAGGGGCCCGGGGGGTGGACCGAGCGCCGTATCACCGATACGCCACCAGCCATAAAAATCTGAATATATTAGGCCTACATGCGCACGACATCTCGCTCGGATCGTGAACACGTTACCCGCGATAATCTACGTTCGTTTCCAGCACACTTTGCACGTTTATGCGTACACCCGAGGCGGCTACCGTGCGAATCGCGCTATATACCTTTCCCCGCGCGGCGCCGCTTCCCCTCGCGATCGCTCCGGAATCTAATTATCTCGTGTATCTCCCAATTAAGAGTGCTTTCGTTAGCGCGGGGCGCTTTGTCGCGCGTCGCTTTCGGTCGCCTTCGGTAGAGCGGGAGGAAAAATCGGTGCGCGCCGCGGAGAATATTCGCGAGGAGGAAGAATCGAGGAGCTCTGCACCGAGAGAGAGAGAGAGAGAGAGAGAGAGAGAGAGAGGGGGCGGGGAGAGACGGCTCGCATTTCTTCGCTGCACTTGCTCGAGCACCGCGCGGAGAGCGCGTTTTAATTTCGTGTTCGTTTAATGAATTACGAGCACGTAATCAAGGCAAGGGGACATTACGTGCGTTTTACTCGCGACCAATGTTCAAGGTTGTGCCCGATCGACTTATCAAGCGAAACACGAAAAAACGAAGCAATTGCGTTCCGACCAGCGCTCGCGTCGCGATCAAGTTTTCTCGCGACCGTCGCCGCACGCGGCCAACGCCGCGAGAGAAACACTTTCGGAATCGGATATTCCGGATTATTTCGAGTTTCGAATGTCGGAACGATCGTCGGGCGGATAAGCTTTCGAGAGCACAGCGCGGTAAGGAGGATCGGTCAGTGGCGCGGGTGAGAGAGGGATCGAGAGGGGGGAGGGGGGCGGGTAATTAGAATAATTCGGGCCGCCGTGGTTCACGCCACCCGGACGAATTTGCATTTTAAATGAAGCGATGGCGTGCCAGGGGCCCCACCGTGCCGGTCGAGAGAAGAAGAGAGGAGAGAGAGAGAGAGAGAGAGAGAGAGAGAGAGAGAGAGAGAGAGAGAGAGAGAGAAGGAGAGAATGAGCGAGAGGAAGGTAGGCAGCGGTAGGACTTTGTGCTTTATAAAGAACTTTAATATTTATCGCTTATATCCCGGCCGAATAAGTATATGTATATATCCGCCCCTTCCTTCCTCGGGGCCACCGCAGTCACGGGACTCGCTGGTCGCTCATGCTCGCGTTCATGCTCATGCTCGTGCTCAAGTATAGCCCGCAACTTCCTTCTCGCTCCTCTTTCGTCTCACGGTCCTTCGTTCGCGCCCTGTTCCCTTGTCGCCCCTCCCGCCCCCCCCCTCGCTACGTGTCGCCCGCCGCGATGTCGGATCATTATCGCGTAATTAGCACCGCTGATTTTCACGTTGCGTCATCGCACACGCACGTGCGTGACAGAGATGACGGCGCGACGTGATTCTCTCTCCTCGATCCGTACGACGCGACGTACGATGCGATGTTCCTCGCGAAGGCTTCTCTCTTCTCGTTGCTATATCTCGTTGTGATATCGGCATTCCCCGCGTCGCGGCAATGTTTTATTTCTCTCTTTTTCTCTGTCATTTCCCTTGCTCGAGCGAGGAACAGATAATCCGTATCGGGCGCGCTCGAGCACGAGTCGATAAGTGTCGGCGGAAATTTCGACGCGAGAGATACCGGGCGTCGCTCGCACGTGCGCAGAATTACGGCCGGGAATGCTATTTATTTGGGTCAGATTATTATCGTTTTAGCGGCGAGGCGAGCGCGGAGTAACGTGTAAAAATGTCTGTCTGCGTGTGGAAATACCTTCCTTCGTTGAAGATCCGCGCAAGGACTCGCGCGGATGTGACCGCGGAGATCACGCATCCAACACGCGGCCTCGACGCAGTAGGTGCACAGCTTGACGCCTAGTCGGAAGCGACTGGAGTAATTTCGAGCGATCGCGCGAGAAAAATTCAGCGAAGAAAGACGAGGACTCGCGCTGGCGATCGGTCAGAGCTCGCCAAGTGGAGGCGCGCTCCAACGGCACGAATCCGCCGGCCGATAACGGATTACACATGGACGAATCGCGCGCGCGCGCGCTCGCCAACGTCGCGAGGGTGAGTTTTTCTCGATATCCGAGCAAAATATGAGCGTTTATGAAGGTCGACGTTGAGTTACGGGCGGGCGTGTAACGATACGATGCGAGGTACGCACAGACGCATAATAAGGCGCGCGAGAGGCGGATCGCTCTAATTGGCAAGAAACCCGGCGGATAATTTATTTATTTAAGCGCGGCGCGCGCGCGCGCGCGCGCTCTCGCGCGTGCACAATTACACGCGGAAACGTCCGTCATGAATGGCGGTGACCGCGAGAGAGCAAGAGAAAAGTGGACCGCGTATATGTACCTGTTGATTTTTATGTGGTCGCTGCTGCTGCTGCTGCTGCTGCTGCTGGCCTGCCGCCGGTGCTCCTCAGCTTCTTCCGAGTGGCATCCGCTCTCCTCGAGGACCCGCTCCTTCGTGCGCGCTCCTCGAGACCGGCTTCGTTACGACGACGGTGTCCCGCTTTCCCAGGCTCGCTGCTCGCTCTGGCTCCCGATGGCCGACGTTGCTCTTCTTCTTGGTCACGTCAGTTCGCCGACATTGTACAGCGTCACGTTGCGCGTCCTCGTGCGACGTCCTGCGAGACGACGATTTCGCGGCGGGACGAGAGAGAGAGAGAGAGAGAGAGAGAGAGAGAGAGAAAGAGACGCGTCTCGTCGCGGTGCGTGTCGCGTGTGATGCGCGCGCGCGCGCGAACGCGCGCGCGAGTCCGACTCGACTCGGCTCGACTCGCGCAGGAAGTGACTTCGCTTTCACGGCAATGAGACGTGGATGTGACACGAAAGCCGGAAAGACGGAAAGAGAGAAGGAACAACGGAGGGAGGGAGATATGCGAATGACTATATAATAGTACACCTACGGGGACACGTCAGATGCCGACAGGAAGGTTTCTCCCAACGACCACCTTCCACCGAGTCGCTCACGATCCGCTCTCTTTATCTCTCGGTGTTTCCTTCCTTCCCGCCCGGCCCGCCCGCCCTCTCCTGTCGGCTTCCCTATTTTTATTCCGCTCCGGTAATTGCGCTCCGCGCGGAAACGTGCGCGCTCTCGCCTGTCAACGTTCTTCTCACCCCTCTCGGCAAACGTGGCGCGTCTGGCTTTTATCGAAGAATGGCCGCGTCGCGGCGACGATCATTGAGAGCGTATGTTGATGTTCTGTCAAACGTACTCGCTCATCGCTCGCGCAATCCGATCATTGCTCAACGACAAGTCCTCGGCAGGTTGAATACTCTCCCCCCGGCTTGGGAACCTGCAGCCTGTCGCAGCTGATCTGAATCTCGAAGGAGAGTGATTTCGCCTTCCTTCCGGCTTCTCTAACCGCCGTCTCTAACAATCATCGGCGGGAAGTGCCGAGTCCTCGCGCAGTTCCACTCGCACCAAGAGACCGGCTCACTGGTAACCACGCGTTCAACTTCCGACTTCCGTCGCTCCTCCCGCCTTCCTCGCGAATTATCCGCACTGGGATCCGAAGGCGAGCCTCGCCCCGCGATCCCCCTCGACTTCTCCTCTTCTCTCTTCGCGGCAGGTTGACGCTTCTACCTCGTGCTCGAGCCACAGCACGTGCAGCTACTCCTGGTAGCCGGCGGAGTGGCAGGTCCGCGCGACGCCAGGGCAAACGCGGTGGACGACTGCGGTCGGCCGGCGAACGCGCTCGAGGAGAAGGACGAGCGCGTCGAGGTGGAGGCAGAAGGGGAGCGAGACGCAGGTATCAAGCGCGGCAAGGGCGCGAGAGCGGCGAGAGATATACGCGCGCCGAGGTAGCCGTGGCAGAAGTGCGAGAGCGAGCGAACGAGAGGCAGAGAGAGCGACTAACGAGAGAGGATGAGAGCGAGAAAGAGAGAGGAGGAGGAGGAGGAGGAGGAGGAGGAGGAGGAGGAGAAGGAAGAGAAGGAGGAGGAGTGAAGGGGGGAGAGAGAAAAATAGTGACAGAGAGAGAGAGAGAGAGAGAGAGAGAGAGAGAGAGAGAGAGAGAGAGAGAGAGAGGCGGTCAGGACAAGATGATGTGGACCACGCGGAGGACACGGCGTGTCTGAAGTGGGCTCGGCCCGCAAACGGGGGTTACGGGCTTTACTTTCGGTCAGGTCCCCCGTACCCTCTGCCTGCCACCGCCCGTGTCGCGTCTACCGCTCGGCCGTACGCACGCGGGTCGTGTGTGTACGTCGCGCGTGTGTATGCTGGAACAACGAGGCGAGGCGAGGCGAGGCGAGGCGAGGCGAGGCGAGGCGAGGCGAGGTGAGCGCCCAGGCGAGGGAAGAGAGAAGGAACGAGAGCGATGGGGCGAAAGCGCGCGAAAGAGAGTGCAAGAGGGACCGAAGGGGAATACGAAGGGCGACGGGGGAAGGGAGAAGGTGACGGTAGCGTGTCGTCGCGTGCTGGATGTTGCAGGCCCGCGTGGCCCGTGGCTCGTGGCCCGGGTTGTGCCCACGGCTGCGGAATGAACTGCGGCCCGTGGCTCCTGCCGAGCGAGAGAGACAGGGAAAGAGAGAGAGAGAGAGAGAGAGAGAGAGAGAGAGAGAGAGAGAGAGAGAGAGAGAGAGAGAGAGAGAGAGAGAGAGAGAGAGAGAGAGAGAGAGAGAGAGAGAGAGAGAGAGAGAGAGAGAGAGAGAGAGAGAGAGAGAGAGAGAGAGAGGGAGAGAGCGCAAGAGGGGGAGGAAAGGGAGAGAGAGAGAGAGAGAGAGAGAGAGAGAGAGAGAGAGAGAGAGAGAGAGAGAGAGAGAGAGAGAGAGAGAGAGAGAGAGAGAGAGAGAGAGAGAGAGAGGCGGCAAGATTGGAGGGGTTGACTCGTTCGATGAGAGAGAAAGAGAGAGAGGGTGCGTGTGTGTGCGCGCATGTGTACGTGCACGTGTACCTGGGGGTGGGCGGGCAAAACGCGCCTTCTCCCTCGTACTGCTCGCCGTTACCTTGCCTCCTCCAGCGGGTTCTTCCAAAGGGCTCCTACTCCTCCTTCTCGCGCTACCACCTTCTCCCTTCTTCTCTCGCGTTTCTTCGTCTCGCACGCACTCACGCACGCACGCACGCACGCACGCACGCACGCACGCACGCACGTACGCACGCACGCATGCTCGCGCAAGGGTAGTCGGACTGGAGTCGCTCTCTTTCGGAGGTTGTTCCGGGACGTCCCCCACCGCGTGTAGTAGATGTAATTAAAGGGTTTCCACGCAGGACCCGCAGCGGCGTATTTTGTGGGCCAGCACGAGATACGGCTAAACGATAGTTCCCCGAGAGGGTATCGATTATGCGTTAAAAGATGCTCGCTCGCGCGCGCACTCGCGCCGACCGAGTCGATTCGATATTTCCACGCGCCACTCGTTTCTTTATTCCAGCGCGCAACTCAGCTAGTCGTTTTTCATTTAAATCAGTCGTGTTATGCTTATCGTGCGCCTTTTTGCCGTGTCGCTGTTATATGCGACTCGCGGTCGTTATGCGTGACAATTACGTCTTCACAGCGTGCGGCGTATTACGTCCGAAAGTTTTTCAACGCTTCGACAAACTTTTTTCACTGTGACGCGCACGCGAGCGGAGGGGCACGATTTCTTCTCACTCGCTTGCTCGCTTGCAAACTCACCGACTACCTCGGTTAACGCGACGAGTCTTGAGTATCAATGAGTATCAATAAATTCATTTCAAAACGCTCCCCGCCTGTCTTCTCGCTCGTCGCTCGAAACGCGCGCGCGTTTAATCCGATTCTGAATTTTCGGGACGGAGGAAGATTCTCAATGTCAACAGGACGGGCGGCAGGGCGGCTACGTTTAACGCTAAACGCGCGGCGAACCTTTGTCTTTCGCTTGACGTTTCTTTCGCCCAGCACGCGAGACTTTGCGATGCGAAGTTGTGTAATATTCCGCCGCAATTCCTCTTAAGAAGACGTAATCGCGGCTGGACGTTCAGACACGCGAGTGTTCGCAACCACCGAGATAGATCCTCCGAGATAGTTCCACGAAGATCCAAGTACAAGAGAGGGAGAGAGAGAGATAGAGAGAGAGAGAGAGAGAGAGAGAGAGAGGGAGGGAGAGGGAGAGGGAGAGAGAGCCGCGAATTCCCTAGCCGGTACCGAAAACATTCGAGTCCCAGTCCTTGGCTGAGTTCTTACGCAAGGGGCGTATCTTGCGTTTCGACAATTATATACCCCGATCCCTTGTCTCGTGCGCCGGCAGCACTGTTTAAGTGCGCGGCTCCTCTCCACGGGCGATCCGCGAAATGTCGGGTTCGATACGTCTTTTCGATCACGAAGGACGCGAAGGTCGGGGATGGTACATCCGCGCACGACTCGAGAGGTTCCATCAGTCATCAGCCCGCCGAGAAATGCTAATTTGCGGGTAACACACGCGCGAATGCTTAGTCGGCCGATTTTCGTGCGCCTCGCTTTGCTCGTCCTACGCTACGTCGTCTCTCGCTCTACCTCTCCTCCCCCCCCCCCGCCGCCGCCCTACGCCCCCTGCGCCGCTCTGGTTTTTTCTCCGGATCGCGCGTACACGTAACAGAGACGGATAATTAGAACGGAGAATACCGCGAATTTATTAAATCCCCTGGAAATATAATCAGGGGTTCCCGGCCGGGCGTACACGGTCCCTCGGAGAGCAGCGAGGAGAGCCTCCGTTCCTCGTTCGGCGATCAGCCACGAGTCAGCGTGTACGGGGGTACACGGGTTTTCGTACGTTTAACGTACGGGGTGTCGAATGACAAACAAACACGAGGGTAACACCGTAACCCGGGCCCTGTAACGACCCCCTGTGGAGTGATTGTCGGCAGCCCTTGTCTCTCTTGGCGCCCTTGTACCCTCCTCTTGTGTCCCGGGACGACCGAGCGCACAGGTTGCACTCGTTCACGGATCATCGCCTGTTAACCGGCCTGTTTCAGGCTCGTTGCGGTTGGCCCAAATGTTACAATCACCCTGGACCTGTCGGGGGCGCCTTTGCCTTGCCCTCGTCTTCTTCTGACCTGAACTTTACGCGGCGGAGACGAGAAGAGTGGTTTCTTGCCGCGGTTTGAGTTCGTCGAAGTCGACCGGGCCTTCCGTGAGTAAGCTTCGCGTTTCGGATTACAGATCGAAGCGACAGATCCATTTTGCGTTTACATGTCGGTGTATCGTCCGGCCGTATCTCGAGCGTCTTTTGTTTGCTCGATTTGCACGACGTCGTTAAAGGGAAAGTGCGAGAGAGAGAGAGAGAGAGAGAGAGAGAGAGGGGAGGGAACGACGAATTTTAGAACGACGAATTTTAGAACGATTATCCTTACCCGCAGGTAGTACAACTCGGAACGGAAACTAGGGTACGAAATTACGTTACCGCGTTCTTATCAGATTCAACATAATAGCGGCGGTGGGACAAACCCTAACAAGAAAAAGATCAGATCATTACGACAAATTAATTTATGGCTCGCTGCGCGAGCGCGGCTACTTCGAGGAGGAAAATTACGGCAGGCGTATTTGACTCCCGGCTGGTGCGAATGTGTGTCCTGGTGTCAGGACAGGTGAGCGATTTCAACCCTCGGTACATCCTCCTCGCGCCTGACCCGGCCCTTATCTGACGAATTTTGTCCTTCCGCCCCGAAAGACCGATACTCCTTCTGTTGTTACGTGATCTAATAAGTAATATCTCGTCGAGGTGCTACCGACATTTTCACTCGGCGCTTTTCGAAGAAGCGCCCCGCGAGAAGTCGCGGGATACCCTCCTCGACTTCGATCACATGTGCGCGCGATGTTTGATCATGAGTGTGTTTCGACAAAGCTCGCAAGTACCTGCTCCCTCGGCCGTGCGATTTTTTCGACTTTGGCCGACCTCGGGCGAAAGCACGCAGCTGCCTGCCCGGCTGTCAATCCGTCGGAGATATTAGGAGCGCGCTCCTCCGTCCGTTTTATTGCCCTAGAGATTGTTCTTTTTTACCGCGTGGCTATAACACCGCAGATTTCACGCTTGCACCTCGATCAAATATTAATCTCATGGATAAAATTGTAATTTATGAAGAGGCAACAGGGGGAGAAGACGCGCGCGCGCGCGCGCGCGCGCGCGAGAGACGGTCCGCAGGAGAAAAAGGTGCGCAAGGTGCGCCCGTTGTTTCTACGAGACTATTAGGACGAGAGAAGCAGGTAGCCCGGCGATATCTCGCACCTACCTCTCCGGGGGGGGGAGGGGTGCACGGGGGGACGGGAAGCGATCCCCTTCGCTCCGCGCGCGCGTCAGCGATTCCTCTCGAGCGAGGAATTTTCGCGACGTTTCGGAAAGTAGAAGCAGGCAGGGGAAGGGAAAAGGAAAATGATTCTAGTCGTTCGCGAACGGAAACTGCGACGACTGCGGCGACACGACACGCGCGCACTTCGCGCGCGATTTGATAATCATTCGCGCGCGCGCGCGCGCGGCGCGTTTAGTGGCGCATTTTTTCCGCGTCGATACATCGCACATTATATTCCTATCAGGCGGATATGGCTGGCGGGATTAAACTGTTACGTCCGCCCTCTTCCACTTACTTACCCCGTCAGATACCGAGCTTCGAATTCCGGTCGAAGCCTGAGGCAGGCAGCGTCGATTCCCGTCGAGTCGTAGGATCGATGAGCAACGTAACGCGAGCCGCGCGCTCGCCCCCCTACCAACCCCCGAGTCGAGCGCGCGCGGCGCGGTCTCTCTTAACGACAATGATAATATCGCGCGGCCTGAGTGGCCCGATGACACCCGCGCCGATAGAACCCGACTCCGGCATTGGTCAGCCCGCCGGATGGATGGTATTAGAGGGTTTCGCCGATTGGCGGCTCTTTGGAACGCCCAGGAAGGATGCGCAGCTGCCAGGACATGCGTAATCCGTCCGCTGATCGACGTCGAGGGA